CCCCGTCTGTCTGTCTATCACTCCCTGCCCCATTCTTCACCTTGTGCCGTGGATGTAGCCTGCCTACAACCTACTGACACACAACTCCCCGTCTGTCTATCACTCCCTGCCTCGTCCTTCACCTTGTGCCGTGGATGTAGCCTGTCTACAACCTACTGACACACTACTCCCCGTCTGTCTATCACTCCCTGCCTCGTCCTTCACCTTGTGCCGTGGATGTAGCCTGTCTACAACCTACTGACACACTACTCCCCGTCTGTCTATCACTCCCTGCCTCGTCCTTCACCTTGTGCCGTGGATGTAGCCTGTCTACAACCTACTGACACACTACTCCCCGTCTGTCTGTCTATCACTCCCTGCCCCATTCTTCACCTTGTGCCGTGGATGTAGCCTGCCTACAACCTACTGACACACAACTCCCCGTCTGTCTATCACTCCCTGCCTCGTCCTTCACCTTGTGCCGTGGATGTAGCCTGTCTACAACCTACTGACACACTACTCCCCGTCTGTCTGTCTATCACTCCCTGCCCCATTCTTCACCTTGTGCCGTGGATGTAGCCTGCCTACAACCTACTGACACACAACTCCCCGTCTGTCTATCACTCCCTGCCTCGTCCTTCACCTTGTGCCGTGGATGTAGCCTGTCTACAACCTACTGACACACTACTCCCCGTCTGTCTGTCTATCACTCCCTGCCCCATTCTTCACCTTGTGCCGTGGATGTAGCCTGTCTACAACCTACTGACACACTACTCCCCGTCTGTCTGTCTATCACTCCCTGCCCCATTCTTCACCTTGTGCCGTGGATGTAGCCCGTCTACAACCTACTGACACACTACTCCCCGTCTGTCTATCACTCCCTGCCCTGTCCTTCACCTTGTGCCGTGGATGTAGCCTGTCTACAACCTACTGACACACTGCTCCCCGTCTGTCTGTCTATCACTCCCTGCCCCATTCTTCACCTTGTGCTGTGGATGTAGCCTGCCTACAACCTACTGACACACTACTCCCCGTCTGTCTGTCTATCACTCCCTGCCCCATTCTTCACCTTGTGCCGTGGATGTAGCCTGCCTACAACCTACTGACACACAACTCCCCGTCTGTCTATCACTCCCTGCCTCGTCCTTCACCTTGTGCCGTGGATGTAGCCTGTCTACAACCTACTGACACACTACTCCCCGTCTGTCTGTCTATCACTCCCTGCCCCATTCTTCACCTTGTGCCGTGGATGTAGCCTGCCTACAACCTACTGACACACTACTCCCCGTCTGTCTATCACTCCCTGCCCCATTCTTCACCTTGTCTAGTGGATGTAGCCTGCCTACAACCTACTGACACACTACTCCCCGTCTGTCTGTCTATCACTCCCTGCCCCATTCTTCACCTTGTGCCGTGGATGTAGCCTGCCTACAACCTACTGACACACTACTCCCCGTCTGTCTATCACTCCCTGCCCCATTCTTCACCTTGTCTAGTGGATGTAGCCTGCCTACAACCTACTGACACACTACTCCCCGTCTGTCTGTCTATCACTCCCTGCCCCATTCTTCACCTTGTGCCGTGGATGTAGCCTGCCTACAACCTACTGACACACAACTCCCCGTCTGTCTATCACTCCCTGCCTCGTCCTTCACCTTGTGCCGTGGATGTAGCCTGCCTACAACCTACTGACACACTACTCCCCGTCTGTCTATCACTCCCTGCCCTGTCCTTCACCTTGTGCCGTGGATGTAGCCTGCCTACAACCTACTGACACACTACTCCCCGTCTGTCTGTCTATCACTCCCTGCCCCATTCTTCACCTTGTGCCATGGATGTAGCCTGCCTACAACCTACTGACACACTACTCCCCGTCTGTCTATCACTCCCTGCCCCATTCTTCACCTTGTGCCATGGATGTAGCCTGTCTACAACCTACTGACACACTACTCCCCGTCTGTCTATCACTCCCTGCCCCGTCCTTCACCTTGTGCCATGGATGTAGCCTGCCTACAACCTACTGACACACTACTCCCCGTCTGTCTATCACTCCCTGCCCCATTCTTCACCTTGTCTAGTGGATGTAGCCTGCCTACAACCTACTGACACACTACTCCCCGTCTGTCTGTCTATCACTCCCTGCCCCATTCTTCACCTTGTGCCGTGGATGTAGCCTGCCTACAACCTACTGACACACAACTCCCCGTCTGTCTATCACTCCCTGCCTCGTCCTTCACCTTGTGCCGTGGATGTAGCCTGCCTACAACCTACTGACACACTACTCCCCGTCTGTCTATCACTCCCTGCCCTGTCCTTCACCTTGTGCCGTGGATGTAGCCTGTCTACAACCTACTGACACACTACTCCCCGTCTGTCTGTCTATCACTCCCTGCCCCGTCCTTCACCTTGTGCCATGGATGTAGCCTGCCTACAACCTACTGACACACTACTCCCCGTCTGTCTATCACTCCCTGCCCCGTCCTTCACCTTGTGCCATGGATGTAGCCTGCCTACAACCTACTGACACACTACTCCCCGTCTGTCTATCACTCCCTGCCTCGTCCTTCACCTTGTGCCGTGGATGTAGCCTGCCTACAACCTACTGACACACTACTCCCCGTCTGTCTATCACTCCCTGCCCCGTCCTTCACCTTGTGCCATGGATGTAGCCTGCCTACAACCTACTGACACACTACTCCCCGTCTGTCTATCACTCCCTGCCTCGTCCTTCACCTTGTGCCGTGGATGTAGCCTGCCTACAACCTACTGACACACTACTCCCCGTCTGTCTATCACTCCCTGCCCCGTCCTTCACCTTGTGCCATGGATGTAGCCTGCCTACAACCTACTGACACACTACTCCCCGTCTGTCTATCACTCCCTGCCTCGTCCTTCACCTTGTGCCGTGGATGTAGCCCGTCTACAACCTACTGACACACTGCTCCCCGTCTGTCTATCTATCACTCCCTGCCCCATTCTTCACCTTGTGCCGTGGATGTAGCCTGCCTACAACCTACTGACACACTACTCCCCGTCTGTCTATCTATCACTCCCTGCCCCGTCCTTCACCTTGTGCCGTGGATGTAGCCTGCCTACAACCTACTGACACACTACTCCCCGTCTGTCTATCACTCCCTGCCCCATTCTTCACCTTGTCTAGTGGATGTAGCCTGTCTACAACCTACTGACACACTACTCCCCGTCTGTCTATCACTCCCTGCCCTGTCCTTCACCTTGTGCCGTGGATGTAGCCTGTCTACAACCTACTGACACACTACTCCCCGTCTGTCTATCACTCCCTGCCCCGTCCTTCACCTTGTGCCATGGATGTAGCCTGCCTACAACCTACTGACACACTACTCCCCGTCTGTCTATCACTCCCTGCCCCGTCCTTCACCTTGTGCCATGGATGTAGCCTGCCTACAACCTACTGACACACTACTCCCCGTCTGTCTATCACTCCCTGCCCCGTCCTTCACCTTGTGCCATGGATGTAGCCTGCCTACAACCTACTGACACACTACTCCCCGTCTGTCTATCACTCCCTGCCCCGTCCTTCACCTTGTGCCATGGATGTAGCCTGCCTACAACCTACTGACACACTACTCCCCGTCTGTCTATCACTCCCTGCCCCGTCCTTCACCTTGTGCCATGGATGTAGCCTGCCTACAACCTACTGACACACTACTCCCCGTCTGTCTATCACTCCCTGCCCCGTCCTTCACCTTGTGCCATGGATGTAGCCTGCCTACAACCTACTGACACACTACTCCCCGTCTGTCTATCACTCCCTGCCCTGTCCTTCACCTTGTGCCGTGGATGTAGCCTGTCTACAACCTACTGACACTCCCCGTCTGTCTATCACTCCCTGCCTCGTCCTTCACCTTGTGCCGTGGATGTAGCCTGCCTACAACCTACTGACACACTACTCCCCGTCTGTCTATCACTCCCTGCCCCGTCCTTCACCTTGTGCCATGGATGTAGCCTGCCTACAACCTACTGACACACTACTCCCCGTCTGTCTATCACTCCCTGCCTCGTCCTTCACCTTGTGCCGTGGATGTAGCCTGCCTACAACCTACTGACACACTACTCCCCGTCTGTCTATCACTCCCTGCCCCGTCCTTCACCTTGTGCCATGGATGTAGCCCGTCTACAACCTACTGACACACTACTCCCCGTCTGTCTATCACTCCCTGCCCCATTCTTCACCTTGTGCCGTGGATGTAGCCTGTCTACAACCTACTGACACACTGCTCCCCGTCTGTCTATCACTCCCTGCCTCGTCCTTCACCTTGTGCCGTGGATGTAGCCTGTCTACAACCTACTGACACTCCCCGTCTGTCTATCACTCCCTGCCCCATTCTTCACCTTGTGCCGTGGATGTAGCCTGTCTACAACCTACTGACACTCCCCGTCTGTCTATCACTCCCTGCCCCGTCCTTCACCTTGTGCCATGGATGTAGCCTGTCTACAACCTACTGACACTCCCCGTCTGTCTATCACTCCCTGCCCCATTCTTCACCTTGTGCCGTGGATGTAGCCTGTCTACAACCTACTGACACACTACTCCCCGTCTGTCTATCACTCCCTGCCCCGTCCTTCACCTTGTGCCGTGGATGTAGCCTGCCTACAACCTACTGACACACTACTCCCCGTCTGTCTATCACTCCCTGCCCCGTCCTTCACCTTGTGCCATGGATGTAGCCCGTCTACAACCTACTGACACACTACTCCCCGTCTGTCTATCACTCCCTGCCTCGTCCTTCACCTTGTGCCATGGATGTAGCCTGTCTACAACCTACTGACACACTACTCCCCGTCTGTCTGTCTATCACTCCCTGCCCCGTCCTTCACCTTGTGCCGTGGATGTAGCCTGCCTACAACCTACTGACACACTACTCCCCGTCTGTCTATCACTCCCTGCCTCGTCCTTCACCTTGTGCCGTGGATGTAGCCTGTCTACAACCTACTGACACACTGCTCCCCGTCTGTCTATCACTCCCTGCCCCATTCTTCACCTTGTGCCGTGGATGTAGCCTGTCTGCAGCTTCTTGATGGTGGCCGTCAGGGCAGACGTCGGGGCGTTGAAGGTGTCTGGACAACATTCATACAACCTGCTGTCAGTCATTGTGAGTTGGGACCATTATACAGTGCAGCCTGGCTGTCCAACTCACTACTTCACAATTAAAATGAAGAAAACCCTTAGGGATAAATCAAATATTCAACTTTTATGACCAAAGAGCAAACACAAATGGATGATTTTACTTGAATCATGATCAGTGGGTAATACAGCTTTTAGTCACATTTGATTGGCTGGTGTAGAAATTAAAGCTTCTCATTGGACGAATAGTTTTTTTTAAAAGTAATATTGATGTCACAAGGTACTGTGGAACCTGTTGTCACAAATCTGCCTCAGGAATTTCATTCCAAGGGGGTAATTAGTTTATCTAACTCAAATATATTTCATCGTCATATAATTGAGACAATAACCCTTTGACATCATCACTTTTTTGCACAGAGCACTGGCTACCAAGCATGAAGACTTTCATGTTTAAATATTAGAAGGATAATCCAGAATTTCTGAAACCTCGTAGGTTATTTTACCTATTAATACATGTATTAAATATGATCATCCCAAGGATTTCAGTGAAAATTGAATTAGCAAGGCAACACTGTATATCGTCATAACAACTTGGCAATATCAGAAAACACAATTAGTCTTGACACAGTTACGCTGACAGTTCTACATATTAATTAAAGATACGTAAATGTTGATCATCATTATCATAATTACCAATCATACAATAATTATCACTAAAGAACATGAAAATTAATATAACCAATTACAACCTAATTATATATCACAGACTATGTCAGAAGATACAAGACATACTGAAATTATACAACTGATCATGTCTTCTACATCATCTGAGTGAATTCTCTCCCTTACCACATGAATCAGAGAGGGAAGCTTACTTGCATGGTTAGCAACCCAGCACCAGAGATTACAATACACACACAGATATAAATGCACTACGACAAAAATTGTTTGAATTGATAGAAATCATCCTCTCGATTTCCAGGGCTCGCATTTCACTAAACCTACACTCACCCCTGGACCCATTCCCATGGCTATCGGGGGGCACGAGTGGTCCAGTCAACTAAGGCGCCGCTGTGCAGAGTTGCGTCCCTTGGGCACGCCAGAAACCTATGATTGTGGCATCGAATCCTGGTTCGCCCCGATTATGTTTCTAGGTTTGTCAGCACCATACCCGTGCTCGTGGGTTTCACCGAAGTGGTAAACGTCTGAGACCTGCATCACTTCGGGCTTTCCTCCCAAATTAAGCTGACACGCCGCGATATAAAACTGGAATACTGTTAAAAGCGGCGTTAAACCAAACTCACTCACTCACACACACACCCATGGCTATCGCGATCTCAAATTACCTGTCCTTGATTTTCATTAGCCAATTTGATTTGCTATGCTACTGACTCTAAAGGACCAATCAGAATGCGGGTTACAAACCAGCCTCTATTTGGTTGGCGATATGAACAACATGGTGGCCAGTCTTATTGATTACGATAGAGTTTGCGAGAAATTCAACGTTGAAAAACTGACCGACAAGCAAAAAAAAGCCATAAAAATTCTTTTTGATGGAAAGGATGTTGATCGCGAGAACCACGGAAATCGATCCAGGGGTTTGTGTAGGTTAACTGAAGTGTGATCCCTGACAATCAATTTTAAGAAACTAAAAATCATAAGTGGACATTAACACTAGGTGAAGTAAAAAGCACTGGCACTAAACACTGAAACGCTAAGCACTGAAACATGACAACATTTATATCACGTACACATTTACCACTGAAAGAAATACAGTATTACAATTAAAACTTTGATAGTCATTCCGTCATTAGGAGTCAGGAAACTGTATGGATGACAACCTCATTGTTATTTCTTACATGAAGAATTATTTCTTATATGAACAGCCTTTTTAAGGATGTCAATAAATTTTACAAGCTTTAAAAACATTTAACCGTATTTAAATAATGATGATTCCCCAAATACAATCGGACCTCGGCAATGTCAGACAAGTCCATTTTATGTACAGCGGGGATAAGTTTGGTATTCTCACAATTTTCACATCTATTATTTGCGCCTTTTCTCCCATTACTGATGGTCATATCTCTCCCACTTTTGGATGCCATCGTTTGGCCATTGTGTTCATTTGTGGTGCCCAGCTACATCTATGGGGAACAACTCACTAGACACCTCCCTCTCAAAAATAACATCGTCCAATATACAACGTCATCAAGTTGCGAGAGCATGTTGAATCTCCAGAAATGATGTCATGAGAGAACAATGTTTTATCGTGAAATAAACCTGGCTTCGTCTTTATTGTTCTTTGTGATTTATCACGTAGCTATCTTATATTGGCTTTTAGAATATGGTAGCCCTGAAATAATCCTCCTCCATGTCTCCTGCGTTCACATTTCGGTAAACCTACACTAGCCCCTGGAGCCATTCCCGTGGGTCTCGCGATCCTAAATTATCCCCCCTTGAATTACATGAACGTGACCAATAAATAACGGGTAAGGGGGTCAGTCAGTTTTTCTATCATAATTAATGGGACTGGCTGCCATGATGACATCGCCAAACCAAAGTTTGCAACTCGTATTATGTTTGATTTGTTTGTTTGTTTGTTTGTTTGTTGTTTAACCCCACACTCAGCCATATTCCAGCTATATGACGTCAGTCTGTAAATAATCAAGTCTGGACCAGACAATCCAGAGGCTGATATCATGAACATCGATTTATGCAATTTGGGATACAATGACATGCATCAACTAAGTCAGCGACCGTTAGTCGCCTCTTAAGACAAGCATAGTCGCCTCTTACGGCAAGTATGGGCTGCTCAATTTGCATTCTGATTGGTACGTTAGACTGAGTAGCATAGCCAATCAAATTGGCGAACAGAAATCAAGGGCAGGTAATTTGAGATTGCAAGAACCACGGGAATGGATCCAGGGGTTAGTGTAGGTTTACCGAAATCCTGGAGATAAAGAGGATGTGAAATAACAAAGAAGTTGTTATCCATAGCTTCATGTCTCCCGTTATGACAGTTGTTATTCTGTAAGACTGGACTCAAGATACAGAATGTATTAAACATTTAATCTAAACAATTGCTACACCAGAAAGAGACAGTAAGTATTTAGATGGTGTCTTGTGTGTTAGGGTGTGGTGTGGGGTAGGGGGTATAAGGAGTTGTGGTGTGGTGAGGTGTGGTGAGGTGTGGTGAGGTGAGGTGTGGTGAGGTGTGGTGTGGTGAGGTGTGGTGAGGTGTGGGGCAAGACAAGGGATGGGTCGGTATGAGGTGGTGTGATGTGTGGTGTGGATTGTGTCTGTGTGTGTACGTGTGTGCGTGCGTACATATGTGATGTGTGTGAGTGTGCGTACATGTGTGTGTGTGTGTGTGTGTGTGTGTGTGTGTGTGTGTGTGTGTGTGTGTGTGTGTGTGTGTGTGTGCGTGTGTGTGGATGCATGTGTGTGGATGCATGTGTGTGTGTGTGTGGATGCATGTGTGTGTGTGTGTGTGTGTGTGTGAGAGAGTTCTCCCCTTGAGAAAGACACCAGGTAGTATGTGAGAAAGAGTGAGGTACATGTTTGTTTGCATTTTGTGTTGTGTTGTGTGTGTGAGTGTGTGTTTTTTAGTCTAAGTATGTGTGTGGCTGCATGTGTGTGTGTGTGGCTGCATGTGTGTGTGTGTGTGTGTGTTAGTGTGTCTGTTAGTGTGTGTGTGTGAGTGTGTCTGTTAGTGTGTGTGTGTGTGTGTGCATGTATGTCTGTTAGTGTAAGTATGTGTGTGTGTGTTTAAGTGTGTGTCTTTTAGTGTAAGTATGTGTGGGTGTCTGTTAGTGTAAGTGTGTGTGTGTGCATGTGTCTGTCTGTTAGTGTAAGTGTTTATGTGTCTGTTAGTGTGTTAGTGTTTGAGTGAGTATGGTTTTACGCTGCTTTTAGCAATATTCCAACAATATCACGGTGTTTGTGTGTGTGTGCGTGTCTGTGTGCACAAGAGTGCATTTCTGTTAGTTAAGTGTGTGTGTGTGTGTGTGTGTGTGTGTGTGTGTGTGTGTGTGTGTGTGTGTGTGTGTGTGTGTGTGTGTGTGTGTGTGTGTGTGTGTGTGTGTGTGTGTGTGTGTGTGTGTGTGTGAGAGAGAGTTCCCTCCACGAGAAAGAAACCAGGAAGAAGGTGAGGATGAGTAAGGTGCATGTGTGTTAGCATGGTTACGATGGGTATGACCACACACTACCCCAGCCAGGCGTGTGTGTGTCCGTGAGACAATACAAGACGTACCAAGAAGTGTGTGAGAGATAGAGATTGTGATGGTGGGTCTGCCCAGGGAGTTCCAGCTGCTCTTGAGGTAGGCTATCTCAGTACGGAGGAAATCCAACATGAAGCTAGTGTCCTGAGCCACGTAGAAGCGCTGCTCGTCCATAAACTGAAGGAAGCAGACATTGCAACATGGAGGACAAGCTCTACGTCAAAGCTGCACCACGCTTACACAAGTACACTCCACATCGGCAGAACACATTCCTTATAATACAGGGCAATATTATGGTCTAAGATCTCCAGTGTTCTTACCTAAGCATGAATGTCAAGGGGTCCTTTTCATTACCCTGTCGTTAATAGTTCAACATGTCTGAGAATTCATCACTTGTCCGAAGACCCTGACTAGTAAAATTTCTTATGGTCAAGTGAGATAAGCTTGCACTAGTCCATATACTAAGACAATCATCCACTGAAAGTAATGCCCAAATACATGTTCGGACGAGTAGACTCAAAAGTTTATGGCACAGACTAGTTTATAATTAAAAAATTAAAACTTAAAAATTTACTTTAAAAAATCCTGGATTCAAACACTTCATAAAGTCAAGGATCCCTGCATCCCCTTTAATTTTGAACATTGCATCTCCACACAGATTATGATCCCAAACTAAAAAATTGTGAGAAAAATAATGAAAATAATGTAGAACATACGGAGTTGTGTGTTTTAGGTCATGTTGAAAATATATAATGAGTGACTGAAATTAACTTAGGCAGTAACTAGCTCAAGTCGAGATAACATGTGACAACACCCCTCCCTAAAAATGCTGAAATTCAACAGCCCTGAGAAAACCTTTAACATCAGACAAACTGACCTGCGCCAGCAGAAGGGTGCTAAATTTATCCTGAATTAGGGAACGAAGCAGTCTAGTTAGACATTCAGGTGGGGGACACCAGAAACTAGAGCAAAGACAGCCTCTCTCAACGTGTCTCCTATTGTGCTACTCTTCCCTGTCTGCCGTACAGATGTATTCCTGTATAAACGTGGTGTACCTGCTCATAGCAAGAGAACATGCAGACAACGGCTTCAAGTGGCTGGAAACAATGGTGTAACACACTCATGACAATCGGTGTGCTCGTTAGCATGGACTAGGGGTGTCACAATATACGTACCTCACATATCACATATTAGCTCTGATATGTATCACAATACTAAATTTGCGATTTTCTTGCAAAGTACATGTACTCCATGTTCCGTGTTGCCCAGCTGATAAGAGTCTCTTGATGTTCATCCATTCGTCTTTAATTTGCGTGATTAAAAGGGCGTTATTCTGACAGTACCATGATCAGATTTGTTTTGTTTTTTGTTGTTTAACGCCGCACTCAGCAATTTTCCAGTTACATGACGGCGGTCTGTAAATAATCGAGTTTGGACCAGACAATCCAGTGATAGACATCATGAGCATCAATTTTGAAATGATGGCATGCATCAGCCAAGTTAGCGAGCCTGACCACCCCATCCCCGTAGTCGCCTCTTACGACAAGCATAGTTGCCTTGATCAGATTTAACCTGGTTAGAAAAAATATTTATTTTCACTAGTCCGTAAAAATGATCGTCTACAGAGTTGCTATCTACCTGATGGTAAAAGCGGTTAGAACACAAGGAAATATCACTAGTCCTTCCTGATTTTACTAGTCATGGACTAGCATCCACTAGTTAATTACGAACAGTGATATAATACATTGTGATGTGATAGGCAGTCAGGAAGCGAAGCAAAGCAGTAATTACAAAACTTCATAAATTAATACAGAAATATGTATTCTTGAACAGGGAGATGTATCACATATCATATCATCAGGTGTAAATTCGCGACGCACTGGTACATCTGTGAATCGTGACACCCCTAGCCAGTAAGGGATCCATGCAAGATGACGATAACTGCGAGCAGAGTTTGTCAAGCATTCCTCGTAGCAAACATGGAGTGTGTCTCCAAGGGCTGTGTTACGCAGACAGCTCAATTATTCAATACACCTTCATTGTGACCTTCACTGTGACCTTCATTGCGAGGGCATAACAAGTAAAGATCAATTTTGAAAAAGAAAAAGGATTATTATGAAAAATTGGAAAAAAACACAGTCAAATTGTTTTATATAATACGAGGAAGTAAAAATGTCTTCAAAAATCGTTATTTACAAAAAATATAAATCTCACCATAGTATCAGATTATATTTGACAGAAGATGCTCAATAAGAGTTCATAATTAAAAGCAATTAAAATAAATAAAAACGAAAAAACAGCAGTACTTGACAAATCTTTTAGGGACAATCAAGGTGGATTCTTTTCTATTGGATGCCTCTCTAGAGGCCACCATCACAAGCAATATGAAAGAACTACACAGAGAGAAGCTATAAAAAGTGCACATGACTAAAGTTAGTTGGACAAGATGCAAACAAGTGGGATGACTCCATGTTAAATGGGCACACCTAACATGGCAGATGACAACATGAAGATTATCGTTGGTCGTCCTAACATCTGCCAGTTGCGCGATAGAAAATCCACGTCGGTTTTGTAGTGATCGAGTAAGAAGTCAATGTCTAGTGGCAGATAGAAGGACAGTTGGTCTAAAAACTGAAGAATACCAAAAATCACTTTCATTATTACAAAAAGACATTAAAATTTGATGTCAACATATGAATTTATGAAGTGACATTGTAATAACAAAAAGTAGTGAATTTTTAGAAAAATTTATTGTCATCTTGAACGCCAACCCTATAAAACCTATCATGCAGTACCCTATTTTCGAACGAAACCTATTTTCGAACAGCCGTATTTTACACTTATTTGTCGCTATAACGAGAGGTGTGACTGCCGCCTAGAGGGTGCAAGCGTTCGACCTGTCAACATTTTGTTCATGTGAAGTACTGTACACCTGTCAGAACATTCTGTAGTCATTAAGAATTTTGGTGCCTGTGTCATGATTAAAGGAAAAGTAAAATAGTGTGAACTGTGAACACTATAATTTTTGCAAATATTGATATTTTGTGAATAGGTTTCAAACTTTCAATTTCTTTTTGAGTTTTACTGCCGACCTGCAGGAGTGAGTGAGTGAGTTTGGTTTTACGCCGCTTTTAGCAATATTCCAGCAATATCACGGCTGGGGTCACCAGAAATGGGCTTCACACATTGTACCCATGTCGGGAATCGAACCCGGGTTTTCTGCGTGACGAGCGAACGCTTTAACCACTAGGCTACCCGACAGCCCCCGACCTGCAAGAATAATGTTGAGAAAAGTGTGCCAAAACATGTCTGTTCATTTATGGAAACTCCGCTAAAAGTACGAAACCAATCAGGAGTTGTCACTCAAGTGCAGCAGAAGTTAACAGAAAAGGTATTGGAGGTCACGCCTTTTATCGAGGATATGTTTTCTTTCAGAAAGTAGCTGTTTCTATTGCTGAAGACATCACCTACTGGTATGAAGCCAGAATTTGATTTACTCATCCCTCGAATTATCAGCGATGCCGTTTAACTGTTCGAAAATAGGGTACGTCAGGATAACAATGATATGAACATGATGATAAGAGTTGGCACAGGCAGGTCAGTGGTTGACCTTTGTTCAAGGCCATCCACCTACAATAATGCCCAATCAGCAGTTTACAGCAATGGCCTTCAACAGTAACCACAATGTGACGGTACCTGTAACTAATCGTAATTATGGGTACCAGTGGCCATTGTAGGCCTGGAACTGAGTAGAACTGAACCTGTAGTTACAGACAGCGAAAATGTATGTCATACTACCCAAATACATGGTCAATAAACATACTAACAATAATAATATGATGTCACTGATAGACAGGTCACATTGTAACCAACTACAGTAAACGACTTTTATAACGAACACGCTTATAATGAACTGGGTTTTTTTTGTTCGGCCATTTGCTCAACGAACGGATTAAAGGCATATATTTATGTATATGCTGTATATATGCTTATAACGAACTACGGTTATAACGAACTAAAATTAGTGGTCCCTTTGAGTTTGTTATATCCGTAGTTTACTGTATTTTAGTCAGCTGGGTGTTGGGATCTACCTGTATTTTATCATAAATCCACATGGTACCTGGTACATTTGAAAGGACAGTAGGGTATTTTCATCTTTGATATAATATTTATAAGCTTATTACAAAGTTGGTGTAGTGGGTGGCGCTGTACAAACAATCTTAGTGCTACGACAGTCATAAGTCCATGATAAGGTATGGGAGATACGATCACCATAGCGCTAATATAGCTTTGTACAACAGCACCCTGATAAGTTGCCCTCAACATTTACCTTTTCAGCTATATCATGGCATGTCTGTCTAATGTCTAATGATGGAGGTGACTACCTCAAGATGGTACTTGTTGTTTCCCTGCCTGGCGCTCGGCCGTAACAGACTAATACAAGGATTGGCTCAGAGTGGGGTATTCATGTTATACTATGGCATGGTATCTCAGTGAACCAGCAGTACAAAACCGGCATTAGTCCGGTCTGTACAAACATTCGCAGATAATTAGGTAATGTGATGCAGTAAGTCCTTGAACAGCATAGATTACATGTAACAGCAGCGTTAGCATGGTTAGAAATTAGAAAGGTGTTTGCCTTACATGCACAAACCGAAACAGACCAACCCTACCTTTTCCAAAAAGCCCCCAAAGATTCCATTAGAGACATGTATCATGAACTACTTCAGCCAATCAGCAGACCTGACCAATATTTATCTATATTCATCTTTGAACCCTACTGTTGTCAAAATCACTACAACTTAATAACAGATGCTTCTAGCTATGTTAATAATGACTTCCTGGTGAAACAAGCAAGAGGTAGAGAACTATATGTTTGAAGTCATGCTACACTAACCACATGTTTCCCCAAACTGGGAGTGCCAGTATGCACTTCTGGTTTGATGACATCACTTCCAGTTCAGGAAAACACATGTCCAATACAACTTTGAACAAAGTCCCGTGCTGAGTGTCTACATTACTAATGAGAAATGCATGCCCAATGCAGTATACCGATAATGTTCCAGAGTAATGACCTTGACCCTCAATTTCACATGCAAAATCTTTCCAAGTTGTAGGATTAGCTGATGTCACAAACTCTCAAGGGGCTGCACAATTAATGCACACCCACTAGACAGTGTCTAAAAACAATTTTAAAGAGCTACTAGTGTGAAGATTGCCATAGCCTACTTGCTTGTTCAATTTCACAGAAAATGATACTGTACCCTAAGCGACAAACATCACATAAATGGATAAGTGTTTCCATTTATTCAGTAAATATAATAGCCATTAACTACACAGTGTACTTTGTGTGAATTTGTCACTGCCAAAATCTGAAAACATCACTGTAGGATCAAGGCTACTGACCAGTTCATGACATCAGGGCTACTGACTAGTTCATGACATCAAGGCTACTGACCAGTTCATGACATCAGGGCTACTGACCAGTTCATGACATCAAGGCTACTGACCAGTTCATGACATCAGGGCTACTGACTAGTTCATGACATCAGGGCTACTGACTAGTTCATGACATCAGGGCTACTGACTAGTTCGTGACATCAGGGCTACTAAGCAGTTCATGACATCAGGGCTACTGAGCAGTTCATGACATCAAGGCTACTGACCAGTTCATGACATCAGGGCTACTGACTAGTTCATGACATCAGGGCTACTGACCAGTTCATGACATCAAGGCTACTGACCAGTTCATGACATCAAGGCTACTGAGCAGTTCATGACATCAGGGCTACTAAGCAGTTCATGACATCAGGGCTACTGACCAGTTCATGACATCAGGGCTACTGACCAGTTCATGACATCAGGGCTACTGACCAGTTCATGACATCAGGTCCACTGACAATTTCATGACATCAGAGCTACTGCCCAGTTCTTGATATTCTGGCTACTGAGCAGTTCATGACATCAGGGCTACTAACCAGTTCATGACATCAAATCTACTGACTAGTTCATGACATCAGGGCTACTGACTAGTACATGACATCAGGGCTACTGATGAGTTCATGACATCATGGCTACTGACCAGTTCATGACATCAGGGCTACTGACCAGTTCATGACATCAAATCTACTGACTAGTTCATGACATCAGCACTACTGACTAGTTCATGACATCAGGCCAGACTACTAGCCCACACCACTAACAGAGTTTTGTGTTAATTTCTAACGCTAGCAATAGATCAACAGACTATCTGAAACATGCACACATACATGTGAACTGAGAATTACTTTCAAAACTACTTTTAGCACGGTTAGAGATATTGACATAAACATATTTCATTCATATCAAAGTATTCATGATACTTTTCATATCAAAGGTCTTAGTAACAAAGTCCCAAGCCAATCCCCAGAATTCTTTTGTCTTTTCCCCCATACCTATATTAAGTGGTACAGGGTAGAGGCTGTAAGGGTATGCATTATATTGTTATGGGATGCTGCTGCGCCACATAGCAAGTTTGACCACACACCTGCAGCAACCATCAGCGGTATTGTCAATGGATCTCTGCCATGGTTAGTTAGTTAGTTAGTTAGTTAGTTTGTTAAAATTTAACATCACATCAGCATTATCTACCATGGTAATTACAAAGAGGCAGATCAAAGCGACATTAGTTAAAACATGTATCTTGAAAAAAATACCTAAAACATCATCAATAACCATGGCAAATAGTCTACATACCAAATACAGTTTTTAAAAACACTAGACATGTTTTCCAGGTTGTTTGTTGTTGTTTTGTTGTTGTATGTCACACTCAGCAATATTCCAGCTATATGATGTCAGCCTTTAAATAATCAACTCTGGACCAGACAATCCAGTGATTGATATCATGAGCAACGATCCATGATGTTGGGGTATGATGACACTCTTTTTAGGGTAAAAGAACATGTTGCCCACATGGAAAACATATCTCCAATTGCACAGCTTCGAATGTAACACTATTTTATAGTTCGAATAATGCTGATAGTTTTACACAATAAAATAGTTTTAAAAATTACAATATTTATTTATTTCAATAACTCTTACATTACCAATGAAGGGTGTGAACAGCTAGCTAAACAGAAATGTTGAAGAACAATAATAACTTTCTGAAACGTGTACAAAACATACCAATATGTTAACTCCTGGTAAATCTAGTAGCACTTACTTGAGGAATGAACGCTAGAATCTGGTCCTGCAGCATGTAGAGTTTACTGGTTGCTAGGAGACCAATTTCACTGGAGGGCCGCCCAGTCAAACCAAGGCGGTTATTCTTTCCTGAAGAAGTTTAAACAATGTTTTGACCAACATGTAACCAATAATATATTTCAAGTATGCATTGTTTTTAATGAGTGAGCATACTACTTGTTTAGCAAATGTCAGTTCATTCCAGCAACATTCCAGCACTATCACGGCTTGGGGAATTGAACCTGGGCCTTAAGCATGACGACCGGACGTTTAAACCACTCGGATACCCCACCACCCCCGCGTACTTGTTACATTTACTTACTCCCAACACTAAGTCTACCGATAAGTTATGAGCAAACAAGAATTCCTTCATCAAATCAAATTATACGTTCACAAATAATAAAAAGAAAGATTTTCAAAATGGCCGCCATGGTTGCATTTGCCGAATTCTGGGTGAACCTTCGAGTTTCAAATTGGAAATCACAATTATCACGACTACAGACACAGAATTACAGATTATCTATTCTGAGTATATGTATGGATTGATTTCCTTGCACATTTACATGTGACGCTTAATCTGTAAGTCTTAGAAGCTTGTTGGTTATTCTTTAAACAGTTTACAGGTGGAAGAATGTAAACGCATGTATTCATTTTAGTGAACTGTATTTTCTTTTGTATAGAGTGAACACCACCTTTTGGAAGCAGTAAAAAACTACATTGTGTTGCTTCCGTTGAATGACGGAAAGATAAACTTGGTAAATGAAAATATCTTATGCAAGCAACAATAAGCCGGAAAAAGCAATGAGCTGCAACCTGATACACAATAACTTGGTATTGTTCCACTGTCACTAGTGTATGTCTGTGGTAGTCCACTCACCCAGCAGGGAGTATATCTGGCTGAGCACCCTAGCGGGGTAGACCTGGATGGGGGCCACGTCTTTCATCGTCTCCAGTTCGATGCCTTGCTGGGACAGCTTGTCCTGAACCACAGTGTCTTCACACAGGATCACAACTGTAACATACACAGGATCACAACTGTAACATAAAGTGGTTCACATCTGTAACATACACAGGATCACTGTAACATACACAGGATCACTGTAACATACACAGGATCACAACTGTAACATACACAGGATCACAACTGTTGCATACACAGGATCACAACTGTAACATACACAGGATCACATCGGTAACATATACAGGGATCACAACTGTAACATACACAGGATCACAACTGTTACATACACAGGATCACAACTGTAACATACACAGGATCACAACTGTAACATACACAGGATCACAACTGTAACATACACAGGATCACAACTGTAACATACACAAGATCTCCACTGTAACATACACAGGATCTCAACTGTAATATACACAGGATCACAACTGTAACATACACAGGATCTCAACTGTAACATACACAGGATCTCAACTGTAACATACACAGGATCACAACTGTAACATACACAGGATCACAACTGTAACAAACACAGGATGACAACTGTAACATACACAGGATCTCAACTGTAACATACACAGGATCTTAACTGTAACATACACAGGATCACAACTGTAACATACACAAGATCTCCACTGTAACATACACAGGATCTCAACTGTAATATACACAGGATCACAACTGTAACATACACAGGATCTCAACTGTAACATACACAGGATCTCAACTGTAACATACACAGGATCACAACTGTAGCATACACAGGATCACAACTGTAATATACACAGGATCTCAACTGTAATATACACAGGATCACAACTGTAACATACACAAGATCTCAACTGTAAAATACACAGGATCACATCTGTAACATACACAGGATCACAACTGTAATATACATAGGATCACAACTGTAACATACACAGGATCACAACTGTAACATACACAGGATCACAACTGTAACATACACAGGATCACTGTAACATACACAGGATCACAACTGTAACATACACAGGATCACAACTGTAACATACACAGGATCACAACTGTAACATACACAGGATCACTGTAACATACACAGGATCACATCTGTAACACACAGGATCACAACTGTAATATACATATGATCACATCTGTAACATACACAGGGTCACAACTGTAACATACACAGGATCACAACTGTAACATACACAGGATCACAACTGTAACATACACAGGATCACATCTGTAACATACACAGGATCACAACTGTGATATACACAGGATCACATCTGTAACATACACAGGATCACATCTGTAACATACACAGGATCACAACTGTAACATACACAGGATCACATCGATAAAATACACAGGATCACATCTGTAACATACACAGGATCATAACTGTGATATACACAGGGTCACATCTGTAACATACACAGGATCACATCTGTAACATACACAGGATCACATCTGTAACATACACAGGATCACATTTGTAACATACACAGGATCACAACTGTGATATACACAGGATCACATCAGTAACATACACAGGATCACATCTGTAACATACACAGGATCTCAACTGTAACATACACAGGATAACATCTGTAACATACACAGGATCACAACTGTGATATACACAGGATCACATCTGTAACATACACAGGATCACATCTGTAACATACACAGGATCACAACTGTAACATACACAGGATCACATCTGTAACATACACAGGATCACAACTGTAACATACACAGGATCACATCTGTAACATACACAGGATCACAACTGTAACATACACAGGATCACAACTGTAACAAACACAGGATCACAACTGTAATATACATAGGATCACAACTGTAACATACACTTTACCATGAAGGTTTATGTGAAACACAGTAAAACCATTCATCACTGACTCCTGAATTCAACCATACAACCTACCAAACATATCTGACTTAACTGACGCCACAAAGGGTTTGAAACTTCTAAATTGGAAAGTCATGTTTTTCCATACTTCACCTTGAACAACAATATCTGGCTTGGTGTCCGACACTAGTCTTCTGTTGAGTGGGTCAAGTTCACCAGGTGACAGAAAACCCTGAATGAGACGGACAAAGGCTGGTGAAATACATTATGTCCTTCAGAAAGTCAACTCCCATTTGCTTGTTATATTATTATTAGGTAGCATAAAATAAATGTTTATTGAGCATACATTTTTTCAAACTAATGAGAGAGGGACACGTTTTGCACAAAATATTTATTGAGATCATAAAATATGAGGAAAGTCAACCTATTATTTGGCTCTAAAATGCAATCGAAAACATATTTTTTTAAACTTTGGTCACGACTACAACACTAGTCACAGAATGAGTAATAGACGACAGAAACACTGAATATATGATGCCCAAAAGGGACTATTTTTGTTTGAAATGGAAATAAGAAGGTCCAATGTGCTGGAGTGAGACACCGATCCCTGAGAAGCTGTTGTTTTTATCTTTAATCACCAGGGTCCATGTGCACAAAGTGATTGTAGTGCTAGGACTATTGAAAGTCAATGAGGGTTACAATACTCTGGCTTGGAGTTTGTATTTGCCTACATTACAACTACCAATGTCTGTCTCACCTCGTAGATGAGTCGGCCCAGGATGTACATCGACTGTCCCCACATCTGGGGGATCTTGCCCCCGGAGAGACGCTTCTGGCTGTTGGGTTTCTTGTATTCTTCATCAACCTGAGTCAGGGAAACCATGGATACCAGTGAAGCTTCAAGAAGTATCAATTCTTTTAAAGACATTTAGAAGTGATGCACATAAGGAAGAGAATTTATGGATGTCAACTTCTATATGATGAGGAACACAAGGTTTCGGAGTATATGCTTACTCCTTCATCCAAAACGTTGTGTTCCTCATAATATAGAAGTTGACATCCATAAATTCTCTTCCTTTAACAAATAGCCTTGAAACATCGTTACAAACAATAAAGAAGTTCCATTTCGTCATGTTCACCAAACTTCTAGATGCCAATCAAAGACTTCTTTATCAAAAACAGCACGTCAAAAATGGCATCGTATCCAATACCAAAAATATACTGTATTTTCTTAAGTACAGCGCGCACCCAAGTAAAATGCGCACCCCCTCTAGCAGATTCAGTATTTTGGAAAACATTTTTTGTGACAGACACGAGGAAGCTGGTGCTAAACAGTGATACAAACAAATAATTATTACACTGTCTTGTGTCATAAAAGACAGGAGCTCAGGACTTTTTACCAATCCAGAAGTGGTCTCCAGTAAATGAGTTCTACAAGACAGACCACATCACTACCTCCCACAGACAAAAGGGTGAGCCAGCTAGGGATCTTTTTTAAACACTTCGTCAATGCTATCAAGCACAGGATTGCATAGACGAAAAGATGGGACTATCTTCAAACCAATACTAAGATATCACATGCACAAGGCAGAGGTGAGCAGGTAAGGGCTTGGAACACTGCCGAAACAGACGCAACTTGCGGCGACTTCGATATTAGACCGGAGTCTCTACAGATGAGTCACTTCACCATCCACTAGGTACTCAGTCTGGGAACCTGAATAGCAATGACAATAAACAAAGGAGGGATATCCAATATTTATTTTGTATGTATGGGAAACAAGTACTGTGCTGCAGGATGAGTACATGGCATTACCTATCTGCGCTAGAGGATAGCTGCAACTGTTGTGCAGAACCAAGGGACCAAATAGGTGCAGGCCCTGAACGTCGGTGACTGAGATGTCACAGATAAAGTGGGAAGCAAAGACAGTGTCGGACTTCCAAAAACGACCCTCATGATGGCAAGAAAGAAGGCAGTCGCTGTGCAGGGGCATAGCAGAGGCAAAAGCTCCTGTCTGAAGTGGATTGGATGTCACATGAGGATGTAATCTAGTGAAGACGTAGCTGGCTGGCCAGATACTCTCTCTGACAGCAGGGCATGGATGTGGTTGGCTTCAAAGAATGTCTTAAATGTTGATATGAGTACACAAAAAGATCTCACAAAAAAGAAAGTTTTCAGTCAGTGCATGACCCATTTGTTTGGGTGGTGACTATGGTGATGTTGGGATGTGTTTGGGCAAAATGTTTTTAGAAGCTGGAAACTTTGTTTTAGCATGTTTCCATGAAGGATCAAAAGAAGAAGGAAGAAATGCTTCATGTGAGATGGGGTAAGTCTACAATATCAAAAGACACTGGCGTGAGATTTTGTCTGTGTCCCATGTCGCTTACCTTGTCTCCAGGGACGTAGTACAACTCAGGCATGATGGGTACGCCATCTTCCGTCTTCATCATCACATCGTCCAGACGCTGACGGTACTTTTCTACCTGAAACACAACAACTCATTACAGGGGCTACCATGTATCGAGAAGTTACACCTAATGATACATGATACCTTACATGATATGCCTACATGGACCAATTCATGTTGAATTTTGTTTCCATTTTTACACAGTTCATACATTTTCTATCCATTAAAAGTAAAAAGTGGTCTGATGACTACTTACTGATAGCATTACCTTACCATCTATGACAAACAAAAAGTTTTGCTGTCCGTCGCAACACAGAATAATTGTGGATGAAAACTATTACCCACACAACTAATTAGGGTCAGCTGACGCGAAAAGGACTACATGTACTGTTGAAATTCTTGTTTTTGTTGTGTGATGACAGCCTTAGTTCAAAGGCAATGACGTAATAGAGGCTTGGTATTTGCAGGAACTACATAAAGTTAAATCTGCTACCATTAGAATATCTTAACTTAACCAATCATGGTAGCCAACAACCACATCGAACATGCACAAGTGCAAGCAAAAACATCAGAAAAGTATTGTGGACCATGTTTAGGGTATCAGGACTATGCCACCTGGCCAACTCACTCCTGGCCTATTCCATCCTTTCAATTGCCCTCAGTCTCAGGTTCAGCTACTTTGCAGCAGCTCCATCACTTAGCATCTTCCCGGGGCAAGAGAGTTAACTGACTTTAAAAGTCCAGTTTCCACCCTTGCCGAACTTGGCTGGAATTACTGGGCTCGATCGTATCGCCACCAGTGGCTATTACCAGTTATGTCCCTTCTAAGCCTCTCCTATGGACCAATCAGATTCCACCTCTCGTATCACTTGCATTTGGTTCACACAAAATGGTGGTGCTGAGTCAGGACAATCTAATCGATAATCAATATCTATATTGTGATAAAACGGGTCTTACATCACAAAAAAATGCATCAAATGACATGAGCACCTTGATTAAAAACATGATAAGATTTGGAAAATATCTGCTGACAACGAGTTGGCGGTGCACATGCTTTGCAAATCCTGCAATTGACCGAAATCTGCACGACAGTTTACGAACCGGATTTCGATTTCGGTGCGCGATTTTGATTGGACTATGCATAGACTCGTTAGTCCAGCCAAAATGTAACTCCATAATACCAGCCTAGTTTGGCAAGGGTGGAAACTGGACTTTTATAGTCAGTCAGCTCCCTTGCCTCGGTAAGATGTCACTTAGTTGTGGGCCTGTTAGTGTGGAGAAGGGTCAGTAGGAGCTAGCCCTGCTGGCTGCATACAAATTTGTTGTTAAATCTACCCCTGTACATGTTGAAAAGTAGTGGAAGAACACGTTCATGTAACCATGTATATCATGAGAAGTTTCTTACCCTTTGTTTGTCGTTGTTGAAGAGCCCGTCGAGGATGAAGAAAGCAAAGAATATGGGCCACTGACACTCGATGTTCTCAAACACTCGCAGCTCCCAGGGTTCATAGTGGAGCCTGTTGGGGTTCTACAATTCAACACATCAGGGATTTATATGGACCTGATGGATTTATATTCAGCCCCAAGTCTGCAGTAAATACAGTAACCATTCCCAAGTTGGAATTAAAAGTTTTCCAACTCATGCTATTATGCTATTGAACAGCTGGTATCATCACTATTTAATGGTGATATATATACTAGCCCACTAAATAGAAATTCTTCAAATGTGACTAAATCTATGATTGGCGAATTATATATGTTTATAATGCTCGCCACTTGGCTACCAAAAAGTAAACACAACTGGTGACAATATCTGTTTAAGATATCTGTTGGCTTCTAAAAACTTAGATTTGGCTTCTAAAATATTCAAGTTACAAGCCGCTTGGCTCCCTAACAAAAATACAAACTTAGAGGGTTGAGATACACATGCTTATGATACAGTCTTAATCATACAATAGGCTTGGCTTATTATTGCAATTTTTCTTTATTTATTATGGAAATGGTTTTGTCGCTTTTTTTATAGTTATTAATAATGCTTTGTAGAGATGGCTGGTAGTTAACTACTGGTAATAACAGGGCAATAAAGAGTAAAAGGATTTCATGCATAATTATTCATAAACCATTGAAAGCAATGTTACAATACAATGCTACAATATGAATTTTGGAAAATAAGATCTTTAACCTGTTAAAAAGACCCCAATTTTGAAAGCAAATAATTATTAATAACTGCCTGCCGGGGGCACTTAGTTGTGAGTCCTAGATAGATCCCTGCACTTACAGGGACATGGGATGGTCTAGCTTGGTGTAAGTAGCAAACACATCTCCAGTGTTATGTCACATGTAACTCAGGGACAGGAAACAGTCTACTTCCTGTGCCTGGGCCCACTTTCACAAAGCTATCTTAACGCAAAGACATAACTGCAACATTGATTTGTTTGTTTGTTGTTTAATGCCTCACTCAGCCATATTCCAGGTATTTCAGATGGCAGTTTGTAAATAATCGAGTCAACACCAGACAATATAGTGATTGACATTATGATCATCGATCTAGTGAGTGAGTCAGTACGGTTTTACGCCGCTTTTAGCAATATTCCAGCAATATCACGGCGGGGGACACCAGAAATGGGCTTCACCCATTGTACCCATGTCGGGAATCGAACCCAGGTCTTCGACGAAACGAGCGAACGCTTTAACCTCTAGGCTACCCGACCACCCCAATCATCGATCTAAGCAATTGGGATATCATGACATGCATCAACCAAGTCAGCAAGCCTGACCCCCCGATCCAGTTAGTCGCCTCTTACAACAAGCACTGTCGAGAAGCATGGGTTACAGAAGACCTATTCAAATCTGGATGTTAATGTGTCACTTTTACATTGATTAGAAATCATATCACTAAAATCGCTTTGTGAACATGGCCCTTGTTACAATCTTTTCGAACTACCAAATGAAACATGCTGCCAGTTGGCACCAATTTGTTTGTTTGGCTGGTTGGTTGGTTGGTTGGTTGGTTGGTTGTTTAACGCCGCACTCAGCAATATTCCAGCTATATGACGGCGGTCTGTAAATAATCGAGTCTGGACCAGACAATCCAGTGATTGATATCATGAGCATCGATCCACCGATTGGGATCGATGACATGTATCAACCAAGTCAGCGAGCCTGACCACCTGATCCCGTCAGTCGCCTTTTACGACAAGCATAGTCGACTCTTGCGGCACGCATGGGTTTCTGAAGACCTATTCTACCCCGGAATCTTCACGGGTCAATTTCTTTCTTTAAGTCACTGAATGAGGAAGAGCATAATTCACCCAGCAGTCCTGAGTTTAAGCAGCTTTAAGTTCTTTCCAACCAATGACAATTGACCAAACAATATTTCTACTCCATCAGCTTGATCAGACGTAAACGAGGAAATGTCAGTTTTGACAGCTTCTTAATGTGAATGTACTGAAGTTTGAAAGCACCCTGTTACTTCCTCACCTCTTTAGCTGTCTTGTAGCCATCCCTGAGGAAGCGGCTGCATCCATATCTTCCCTGGAATTCAAACAGTGATTGGTGAGAACAAACATGAACACAAACTGTATATGCCCTAACACAGGAACTGACATGAGTGTAGACCATCAACATACCAACCCAGTCACACTGAACAACCCACCACCAACCCACCCAACCAACCAGCCCAACTGCACAATCACTGACTCACCCACCAAATCACCAACCAAAGCAACTGCACAATCACTGACCCACCCACACAATCAACCAACCCAACTGCACAATCGCTGATGCACTCACACACCCACCAATCAATCCCAACCAACCAACCCAACTGCACAATCACTTACCCTCCCACAAACCCACCAACCCACCCCAACCAACCCAACTGCACATTGACTGACCCACCCACACAGCCACCAACCAACCAACCCAACTGCACAATCACCAACACAACCACCAACCAATCACAACCAACCAACCCGACTGCACAATCACTATCCCACCCATACAGCCACCAACCAACCCAACCAACCAACCCAACTGCACAATCATCCACACAACCACCAACCAACCCAACCAACCAACCCAACTGCACAATCATCCACACAACCACCAACCAACCAACCCAACTGCACAATCACTGACCCACCCACACAGCCACCAACCAACCCAACTAAACAATCATCCACACAACCACCAATCAATCCCAACCAACCAACCCAACTGCACAATCACTTACCCTCCCACAAAACCACCAACCCATCCGAACCAACCTGACTGCAAAATCACTGACCCTCCCACAAAACCACCAACCAACCCAACTGCACAATCACCGACCCACCCACACAGCCACCAACCAACCAACCCAACCAACCAACCCAACTAAACAATCATCCACACAACCACCAACCAATCACAACCAACCAACCCAACTAAACAATCACTTACCCTCCCACAAAACCACCAACGCATCCGAACCAACCCGACTGCACAATCTCTGACCCATCCACACAACCACCAACCAACCCAACCAACCATCCCAACTGCACAATCACTTACCCACCCACAAAACCACCAACCCATCCGAACCAACCCGACTGCACAATCACTGACCCTCCCACAAAACCACCAACCAACCAACCCAACCATCCCAACTGCACAATCACTTACCCTCCTACAAAACCACCAACCCAACTGCACAATCACTGATCCACCCACACACCCACCAACCCAACCAACCCAACTAAACAATCATCCACACACCCACCAACCGATCACAACCAACCAACCCAACTGCACAATCACTTACCCTCCCACAAAACCACCAACCCATCCGTAACCAACCCGACTGCACAATCTCTGACCCATCCACACAACCACCAACCTACCCAACTGTACAATCACCCACACAACCACCAACCCAACCAACCAACCAACACAACGGCACAATCTCTGACCCACCCACACAAGCACCAACCCAACAAACAAACAAACAACAAACATCACAAGTAGAAACAGGATCCACCTACCTCCAGTTTCTCTTGAATTGTGCGTCGCGTGTGGTCAATCAGCTCCACATCGTCCACAGCGAAGGCAGGATATCCGATCACAGTCAGCAGTCCAGCATCAATCTCCTACAGAGAAGCAATGCAGGCAAAATAATTATAAATTCTTACACTGTCAGCATATATGATGCTGATAAATAGCATATTATGTAACAGATCTTGACATCTGACCTCGTCAGTTGATCAGATAACCTCTGGCTTGACAAGGCCATTATAACCACATCTGACCTCGTCAGTTGATCAGATAACCTCTAAGTTGACTGGGCCATTATAACCACATCTGACCTCGTCAGTTGATCAGATAACCTCTGGCTTGACTGGGCCATTATAACCACATCTGACCTTGTCAGTTGATCAGATATCCTCTGGCTTGACTGGGCCATTATAACCACATCTGACCTCATCAGTTGATCAGATATCCTCTGGCTTGACTAGGTCGTTTTGTAGAATTTTCCTATTCGGAATATTCTATAAGTAATACGTTACCACTGTTATACCGAGGCTGTTGTCTCCCACAACTGCTGCTATAGCGAAATCTACCACAGAGATCTCAATTACCTCATGCAGCACGTGCGTAGCCACCTAGCTGCCATGTGACACCCTTCACTCTTGTCTCCTGCGAGAGCAAGTGCTCGGGGGACGGACGGGCGGGCAGCAGCCCAGTGGTAACGTATTACTCATAGAATATTCTGAATAGGAAAATTCTACAAATTACATTAAGTAATACGTTACCACTGTTATACCGAGGCTGACTACCACAGTAGGCGGTGGGGAGCACCTACAACCCGAATCCTGACTGCTAGCGTTCCTTCCGACCAGCGGAAGTAAACACCAAGGCGGAAGCACTCGATGCGCATGCACCTAGCTAGGCGTTACCCTATAGGAATACCAAAGCACTGTCAAGCGCATACCGTAAGGCTCAATCGTCATTGCCAAAACGATTGGTGACTCCAAACGGCCCCACTGGATAGGTATTTCATCGCCGCAGCGGATGAGAACACTGTATCCGAGTGAGCTTAATCTTAGCCTTAAGATAATACTTAAGGGCCCTGACCGGACACAGCGCTCTGTCCTCGGTATCAGCAGGATGTAAGATTTCTTTGAGTGATCTTACAGTGAATTCTCTCTCCGTTTGCCCGACTCTGATTCTTGGCGACGAAGCCCATGAGCAGGCCCAGTTTAGATCAGGTTAAACAGTCGAAAAGAGGGAAATTAATTTCATTCAGACCGTATATCCCAGAGCAAGCCTACTTAAAGTATGCATTAGGCGCGTGACCTAATTCCAGTATTTGTAAGCATGCATCACAAGGTTGGGATACACGACAGACAATTAAAGACATAATTGTCAAAATACAAATAAGGACAAAGCACACAAAAAGCCGCCCTCACCTGTGGTGTGAGTGCGCTGGTTTGCGGGACCCCAACTCCTGTACCCACGGCAGTGGGAACATTGGAGTCGACCCAGATTGACCACCGTGCAAGGTCAGACGCCTGAGGAGTTCGGAATTGCGCTGGGCACACCCCTTAGGTGCCCGCTTGCGCCGCGATCCGCGGGCCAAGACGGTGCACACTCTCCACGACGGCATCAGCGACCTGTTTGAGGTAATGATTGGCAAAAACCGAGTCAGAACGCCAGTAACAACCTCGTAATATTCTGCGAACAGAGATATTCGAGTGTAGGGCAAATGTTGCCGCTAGCGCCCTGATCTTGTGCGGGTTTGACCCCGCTACCGGTAACCCCCGAGACCGGTACGCCAGATTGATGACAGAACGAAGCCACAACGCAATCGAGTTGCGAGTTATGTCAACCGTGCGATTAGGGTTACACGATATGAACAGACGGTCACGCCCTTGTCTACGTTCATTCGAAGCCTTAAGATAATACTTAAGGGCCCTGACCGGACACAGCGCTCTGTCCTCGGTATCAGCAGGATGTAAGATTTCTTTGAGTGATCTTACAGTGAATTCTCTCTCCGTTTGCCCGACTCTGATTCTTGGCGACGAAGCCCATGAGCAGGCCCAGGCGGACCGCTCCTTCGTCACCCCTATCGAATCGTACCTTGGCGACATCGAGCGCATGAATTTCGGATACACGTGCCGCCGTGGCAAAGGAGAGGAGAAATGCTGTTTTCCAAGTCACATGCCGGAACGAAGCACTATGCAAGGGTTCATACGGAGCTTCCGTAAGTGATTGCAACACTAGGGAAAGATCCCAGGCCGGTGCCCGAAGGCCCTTCTTAAGATCGTGCTGTTTGAAACCCTTGATAATACCCCGTATCACCGGCTCTTTGGAGAGACTGGTACCCATAGCAACGTCCCGTACCGTAGCAACGGACGAGACATAGTTGGCAATGGAACCCCCGGAGAGTTTCCGGGTCACTCGCAAGTGAGACATGAAACGAGCAATATCCTGCACAGATACCTTATCTGGCGAATGAATGTGATGTTTACAACACCACTTCGTGAAAATAACCCAACGTGCATTATACACCTTCTGGGTAGAATCACGATGCATACTAACGTATGCCCGAGACGCCCGGCGAGAAAAAACTTTACTCCTCAGACGCTCGGTGACAACATCCACGCGTGTAGATTGAACTGCCCTGCGTTTGGATGAAGCTGACGGGTGTGAGGGTGGATCAAGAGATCCGGTCTCACAGGCAGTGGAAGTGGCGACTGCGTGACCTGGGTCAGCAAGTCGGGGTACCACGATCTGTTCGGCCACATGGGCGCGATCAGTAACATTCGACAGCGAACTCCTCGGAGCCGGCTTAGAATGTGTGGTATCAACGCTGTCGGCGGGTAAGCATAAGCGACCAAGCCTGTCCAGTCTAACGCGAGAGCATCGTGATCGATGGCCCTCGGGTCCTGGACTGGTGATACAAACAACGGGATTTGATTGTTGAACCGCGTTGCGAACAGGTCGACCATCGGACGACCCAAACGTTCGCACAGCCACTGAAACACTACTGGGTTCAGCATCCACTCTGTGGGGCTCGGATCCCCAGGCCTCGATAGAGCATCGGCCAGTACGTTCCGCACACCTGGGATGTGACGGGCGCGTATCTGGCACGGGACACTGTCCACCAGAGCGTAAAACTCGAACGTGAGATCGAGTAGCGAGTGACTGTGGGTTCCCCCCAGTTTGTTCACATAGGACACTACCGTCGTGTTGTCGGTCGCCAGCATGAGCCGGGCGTCGACGAGACGATGCTTCCAGTGATTGACTGCGTTGATCACTGCCTTGAACTCGAGACAAGTGATGTGAAGACCTAGTTCGTCTACGCACCACAGCCCCGAGCTCACCTCCCCCTTTAGATGGGCGCCCCAGCCCACTAGAGAGGCGTCTGTATACAGGGTCAACGTGGCCCGGTAGGGCCGCATAGAGACTCCTGATAAGACAATGTAAGGGACCGTCCACCACTCCAGATGCGGTCGGAGCCGATCCGGGAGGGCGACGGTCGCACTGTTCACCACCGTTGCTAACAACTGGATTAAAAACCGTTGCAGCGGGCGGAGTTGGAGACGACCCCGTGCGGTGCAGTCCTGGGCTGATACAAGTAGGCCTAACAGCTGTTCCCAAAAGTGAACAGTCTGTTGCACCGCTAAGACTTTGGCAATCATCGCCTGAATTTTGTGCCACCGGTCTGGGGGGACAAAGAGGCGATGGGACACCGTGTTGAACCGACCTCCGATGAACAGCAAGTTCTGAGAAGGGGTTAACTCGCTCTTGGGGAGATTGATAATCCACCCAAATTGCTCCAAGAGCCGACGTGCGAAATCGAGATGGCGTGACAGGGTGTCCGTCATTCGATTTGCTACTAGCGAGTCGTACGCGAAGGTACACGAAGGTACGTGAAGTACCGGACACCCCTCCTGTGGAGGAACCCCACTATGGGGGTGGTTAACCGGGTGAACAGCCAGGGAGCGGACGTGTGAATCATTCTGAGTTCGGCACTGTCCTACTTGGGAACGAGAAATATCCTGGAGTAAAACCCCGGTGTTATTTCTGGTAGAGCTAACTCCCGTACTGCCCCTTCTCCACCAACCTGCCGATGGCATCGGCGAGGATGGGAAGATCGGTTTCCGAATCGAAACCTGCCAACGGGGCAACGGTGAGCGGCGGATTCGCTTTGAGATCAAGCCGATAGCCGTACCGAATCGTGTTGACCACCCACGGGTCGTCGAACACTTGTTCCCAATTCTCCCAGTAAGTCTGGAGTCTGGCTCCCACTGGGGAAGGAGAGGGGGCCCTGACAGGTTGCGGCAGGCGCAACTGTCCAGGGCCAAGTGACTCAGGTTCGCCTAAGGGCCAACCGAAGTTGGCGCTGTCGGCATACGAACCCCTCCAATGAGAGTCACCTGGAGGGGCCCTTGCCGTCCGTCGACGACTTGGGCTTCCCCCAGTTCCCCGTCTTCCCGCGAAAGGGCAGCTGATTGCCCATACCGGAGCCCTCAGGGCGGGACTACTTCCCAGAGGAAGAAGAACCCGACCCCTTAGACCTACAGGCCGCAGCAGCCTGGGGCGCGCTCCGGTTAGGAGCGGCACCCAGGCGCCTATGCAGGGACCCAACAAGAGCAAGTGTGTGCCGAGAGTCCTCGGCAACGTACTCCAGGGAAGTATTTAAACTGAGCAGGCAGTTGTAAATGCGCTGGTCACGGTCCGTGGGAGAACCTTCGACCAGACAGGCCGCTGCAGCCAAGTAAGTGTCTCCGTGAGACATGGAGTGCCGAGCGAGGGCGTCCAGCTGGTGCAACCGCTCAACATGGGCCTCCGCGGTAGGACCAGCCTCGGGAAAGGCAAGGTCATGTACCGGGAATAAACCCTTTCTCCACGACGTCGGAGGCAACGGGAGACCCCGACCGGAGGCCGCCGCGAAGGTGTTCTCCAAGGAAGGCTTGAAACCGCGCAGCAAGGTCGATGCGGGGAAAGCCATGTCGGAAGACTCATCGTATACCTCGGAGGAACCCACAGTCGTGGATTCCCCGCGGTACCGGCCGGGGCATGTCCTCAAAGAGGTCATAAACCATGGCCACGCGGTCCTGAACCGATAGCGGGAGCAATGGTTTCGGGGGAAGGACCGGTGACCACGGGAGCCGCCGCCGTACCGGTGGACCCCGCGGCCACCGAAGTGGCTGGGGACGGAACAGCCAGCGGCCTATCCTGAGATAAGGCCGCCAGCTTGGAGTCCACAAGTTATGCAAGTAATGCAGCGACGGAATCCCCGGACAGCACACGGGCCGCCAAGAGATCCGCCGCTTTACCGGTGGACCCCGCGTCCGACCCCGCTGCCACCGAAGAGGCCGGGGACGGAACAGCCAGTGGCCTATCTTGCGATAAGGCCGCCAGCTTGGAGTCCACAAGTTTCGACAACAATGCGGCGACGGAATCCCCAGACAGCCCGAGGGCCGCAAGGGGATCCGCCGCAGCCGAGGAGGTGGTACCCGCACGGGGACCCCGACCGGACGAACCGGCCACCACAGGGGTGGAGACGGACTGTACGTACAGCCGGTACCGCTCAAACTCCGCAGGCCCCAGACCTTCGCACAGGATGCACCGGGTGTCCCCGCAAGGAACCCTGCACCGCGGGCAACGATCGTGGGGATCCCGGGACGACAAAAACTTTCTGCACACCCCACAACTCCGAGGAGCAGGGGTAGAGGGGGTGGATACTGGGGACATATCCATGTCAGACATTGATTGTTTGCTATAAACAAAGAACAAAACATGGTTACAACGCACGCACCACAATGATTCACAAACGAACATTTTCACAAGAAAATAAACGAGCAATGTGAACATATAACATACACATATAACTTTTATTAAAGAAATAAGTTATGTTAACCCCCAAAACATACAAGAACAGGGGAAACGTAAAACACAACGTGCATACGCGAACCCCGCAAGTATATAGAAAAAAGGGCGGGAAAATTTTTCCGTTTGGCGGGAAAATTATAACCAAGCGTAGCTACCGCAACGACCCATAAAAGCACAGTTTATTAGAGAATAAACTATAATAAATATCACCAAATTTTCAAGGAACGCTTCAGCAGGAGAAAACACGTCTTGCTAAGCAGACGAAGGAGACAAGAGTGAAGGGTGTCACATGGCAGCTAGGTGGCTACGCACGTGCTGCATGAGGTAATTGAGATCTCTGTGGTAGACTTCGCTATAGCAGCAGTTGTGGGAGACAACAGCCTCGGTATAACAGTGGTAACGTATTACTTAATGTAATATAACCACATCTGATCTCGTCAGTTGATCAGATAACCTCTGGCTTGACTGGGCCATTATAACCACATCTGACCTCGTCTATTGATCAGATAACCTCTGGCTTGACTGGGCCATTATAACCACATCTGATCTCGTCAGCTGATTAGATAAACTCTGGCTTGACTAGGTCATTATAACCACATCTGATCTCGTCAGTTGATCGGATAACCTCTGGCTTGACTGGGCCATTATAACCACATCTGACCTCGTCAGTTGATCAGATAACCTCTGGCTTGACTGGGCCATTATAACCACATCTGATCTTGTCAGTTGATCAGATAACCTCTGGCTTGACTGGGACATTATAACTACATCCGACCTCGTCAGTTGATCAGATATCCTCTGGCTTGACTAGGTAATTATAACCACATCTGACCTCGTCCGTTGATCAGATAACCTCTGGCTTGACTGGGCCATTATAACCACATCTGATCTCATTAGTTGATCAGATAACCTCTGGCTTGACTGGGCCATTATAACCACATCTGACCTCGTCAGTTGATCAGATATCCTCTGGCTTTACAAGGTCGTTATAATCACATCTGATCTTGTCAGTTGATCAGATAACCTCTGGCTTGACTGGGCCTTTATAACCACATCTGATCTCATCAGTTGATCGGATAACCTCTGGCTTGACTGGGCCATTATAACCACATCTGACCTCGTCAGTTGATCAGATAACCTCTGGCTTGACTGGGCCATTATAACCACATCTGATCTTGTCAGTTGATCAGATAACCTCTGGCTTGACTGGGACATTATAACTACATCCGACCTCGTCAGTTGATCAGATATCCTCTGGCTTGACTAGGTAATTATAACCACATCTGACCTCGTCCGTTGATCAGATAACCTCTGGCTTGACTGGGCCATTATAACCACATCTGATCTCATTAGTTGATCAGATAACCTCTGGCTTGACTGGGCCATTATAACCACATCTGACCTCGTCAGTTGATCAGATATCCTCTGGCTTTACAAGGTCGTTATAATCACATCTGATCTTGTCAGTTGATCAGATAACCTCTGGCTTGACTGGGCCATTATAACCACATCTGATCTCGTCGGTTGATCAGATAACCTCTGGCTTTACTGGGCCATTATAGCAACATCTGACCTCGTCAGTTGATCAGATAACCTCTGGCTTGACTGGGCCATTATAGCAACATCTGACCTCGTCAGTTGATCAGATAACCTCTGGCTTGACTGGGCCATTATAGCAACATCTGACCTCGTCAGTTGATCAGATAACCTCTGGCTTGACTGGGCCATTATAGCAACATCTGACCTCGTCAGTTGATCAGATAACCTCTGGCTTGACTGGGTCATTTAAACCACATTATCAATGCCCTCTTTACACTAAATCCTTAACGTCTAGCGAGTGAGTGAGTGACTTGGGTTTAGAGCCCCTCTGAACAGTATTCCAGTTCTATTTGGATGCTTTGTCTAATGTAATAATAATACAGTGTGCATATTTCTTATGCACCAAATCCACACCCTAGAGCAGGCTCAAAGCTCTACATTTCTACGTCAATGGATCTGTGCTACTGGATTTTCATTCTCAGCTCCCTGGAGAGTATACAACCTAAGCTGCCTGTTAGGTGCTAGAAGTTAACAGTCACATTACCATGTCATTCTGACAGGTATCCATTCACTGCTGGGTGAACAGAGGCGTTTTTCGATTAAAAGTCTCTTGCCGAAGGAGACACATGTGCTACATGTGTGTCAGTGTGCCATGCAATTGTCACATGCACGAAACTAGTTCTGATATGGATTCCTGCCAGAGCTGGTCGCCATCTTATTGTACTACAAGTCGAGTGTAAAGTTCAACTGACCTTGGATGAAGACTCCCTTGGCATCATGGAGTGAAGAATGGCCTAAAAGAATAAATTAGTTATAACTATTTCACTTAAGTAAACGACAAATGAAGGTCATTATGGGAAACATTCTATTCAATGAGATTGATGATACCACTGAAAAATATCAATTTATGAACAAGTGTTAAGTAACACTTGGTTATCTCCCTTCAATTCAACATTTTACAAAATTAAACATACAGTTAAAATTTTATATCTACACACGCACGCATACACACAGAGAGTACACTACGTTTATAACGAACACGGTTATAACTAAGTTATTTTTTAGTCCCGACTATTTGTTGGAAATATGCTGTATATATGCTTATAACAACCTGCAGATATTACAAACAAACTATGGTTATTATGAACGAAAATTAGTGGTCATGAAATTCAGGCATGTATCAGTGATGAAGACTTCCTTCTGTACAAACCTGACATTGCTGAGCTTCATCTGGGAGGACATGGATGATGGAGGACGGACCACCGCGGGCGCCAAACAGATCCAACTCATTGATGGCATCCAATGCAGCCTGACGAGTCAAGTGCAGATTAACTCTTTATACTCGGCTTGTCACGATTCACTGATGCTTTGAGCACTACACAATACATTACTGATACACCTACTCACACCGCGATTTAGGTTCTATTTCATATCCACTTTCAAAAAGTGGAATAATTTACATTTTTGTATCAATTCTCGAGCAGGTTACAAGCAATACTGGAAGTAATGATTTTGCAAATGGAGTGAGTGAGTGAGTTAGGTTTAATGCTTTGTTGAACAGTATTCCAGTTATATCGCGGCGTGTCAGCTTAATGTGGGAGGAAAGCCCTAAGTGATGCAGGTCTCAGATGTTTACCATTTCGGTGAAACCCATGAGCACGGGTATGGTGCTGACAAACCTAGAAACATAATCGGGGCAAACCGGGATTCGAACCCACAATCATAGGTTTCTGGCGTGCCCAGGGGATGAAACAATTCACAGAGAATTGCGGCGTCTTAGACGACAGAGAATCCATGCGGTCATTTACTTTTAAATCAAGGAAATGAACAGTCTACCCAATCCTACCTTGGTCATGCCGATGGAACTGGAGTTGAGTTCTGGAAGGCCGTGATTGGTCTTGTCTCCTCTCTCCCAGATACCATAATCCTGTATACACAAACATCTGGAACTGACTTCAGGCATCACATATACCGTATTCGATGTAATAAGCGCCCCACTCTTAAAACCCTTAAATATGGGCAATTAAATTCTGGAAAAATATATCTGTCGTATATAAACATTTCAGACTGTCAGCATAAACCACGAAATTTATCTTTCAACTCTGTTTTTTCACCCAAATAATATTCTAATAAGAGCCCCCTGTTTCTAATTTTGAGCGCGCCCTCGGCGCTTATTGTGTCGATTACGGAATATATTTTTTCGATGACAAAATTAGAAATTTGTAAAAAATCTGTATTAGTTGTGAAAGTCATTGGAGTATCTTTAAATTTAAGATTACCAAATCTCTTTACTTATCAGACATGTTGCAGAGATTAGAACAGAATTTTGATTAACATTGAGTTATTTTATTAACACTTTTCATATACAACTTTGAATTGCATCTAAAGATTACTGAAGAATCATGATAATTGAAATGATAACAAATCCTTTGAAAACATAGCATAACTGTTAGCAATATTCCAGCAATATCACGGCATGGGACACCAGAAATTGGCTTCACACACTGTACCCATGTGGGGAATCTAACCCTGGGTCTTAGGCTTGATGAGTGAATGTCTTAACTACTAGGTTATCCCACCCCCTCATCCCCACCCCCCATACTTATGTATACTTATCCTGCATTACTCCTTAATGCATTTACTGCTTGTTCTTGACAGAGAAAGAGCTGTGTGAAGATCTTGCTGAGCAAAGTAGAAGTTGTTTCAACTAGCTGAGTGGCCAAACCTATCACACAGCTCCCACGTGACCACCTAGGAAGTTCACGGTTCAGCACATTACTGCTGTCACCCATTGAGAACAATTACCTGCTTTTGTGTCTCAGCTCTGATCAACAGAATTCACCACGTGATCACATATTTCTGTGTCATGCATTTAGGAGTAATGCAGGATAAGTTTAAAAATAGCAGCGTAACAGGTAGTACTAAAGCCTTACTGGTGTGCGGTACGCTGTCTCTATGTAGAAGACGAGGTTCTGAATGAACGCCACCTCGTCCAGCGTGTAGACTATCTGCAAGCCTGGAAGCAACAACAGTGAGTCAGTGAGTATGGTTTTACGCCGCTTTTAGCAATATTCCAGCAACAACACGGCAGGGGACACCAGAAATGGGCTTCACACATTGTACCCATGTCGGGAATGGAACCCAGGTCTTCGGCGTGACGAGCGAACGCTTTAACCACTGGGCTACCCGACCGCCCCGAAGGAAGTAACAACACAGTTGATCAGGGTGTTGCTCTTAATGAATGTTATCACTGGTTTGCCTGACCTGGCCAAAACTAAACTGTTCAGGATTTCCCACTTGATCTTCACACAGAACATAGTTGGGAATCAGACATTAAAAACAAATACTCAAAATTGGAAATCTGACAGACCACCTTTGTTTATTTGTTGTTTAAGGCCACACATAGCAATATTCCAGCAATATCACAACGGTATGTACATATTGAATCTGGACCAGACATTCCAATGATTGACATCATCAGCGTCGATCTACACAAGTGGGATACGATGACATGCATCAACCAATTCAGTCAATGTGACCACCCGTTCCCGTCAGTTGCCTCTTATGACAAGCATGGGTTGCTGAAGATCCAATCTAACCTGGATCTTCATGGGTTTTTCATCTTTAATAAGACTGCCTTTTCACTGCAGCTGATACTTACTAGCCATAATACTACAGTCTGATACAGACATCCATATTTCAGCTAGCTAGGTTGCAGTATGGATGGGGGATTTTTACCATGTTTTCTACTACAACCCCCATTGGGATTTCAGAGCCTATTCTGGTTGTCAGGGCAACTAAGGATCAGGTGATCAGCCTCAGTGACTTGGTAGATTGAATGTCATCACCATGATCCTGACAGTGTGGAACATTGCTCAGTATATCAATCACTAGTTTTCTATGGCCCAGATCACTTTTTACAGACTAACATTATACAGCTTAAATATTGGTGAGTGGGTTGTTAAAATATCTAACACTAACGTTCTGATACAGGCGTCTGTCTTTTCATGAGATTGATGTGCAGCATGAATGATCTCACCTGTTGCTGTCATCTGAGCCAGTGTAAGCAGGAACAGCGATGTTGCGTCCAGCTGGAGATGGCCCCATTCGTGGTCACCAACAACAGCCTTACCAGTCTTGCTGCAGAACTTGGCGTGGAGAGAATCCTTGGGGTTCTGTGTCTTCTTAAACCTCTCCAGCTTGTCAACCTGCATCATCATGCACCGTAGCAGCCCCCGCATGTTCTTCACCACCGACTGAAACAATCCCACAGTCATGTCATGTCTTCAGTCTGTGACAACACTTTGGCATCTTCCCCAAGCTCCTTCCCAGCGCGTGACACCTTCGTTACACTCTCGGTAACATCGCTGCCACCAGTGTGGGCGCAGCCATTACAAGAATCTTGAAATTTGCCCTCTAACCCCAAATGTAGTAACGTTTATACTTTAAATATGTCTTTGGGAATGCCATCATATTTCATTTTGAAAAGGTTTACGACTGACCATATTTTCCAGATGAATTTACTTTGTTGTTTAATTGGTTCGAGGTGGCAGACAAACGGAAAATCAACCAACTTCTCCCTTACATTCTTACTATATCAACAACACGAATGTTTTAATGAAACAGAAATTCAAATTGACAAAGAAAGAAAGTAATTTAGCAGTGATAAGTGTATTCAGCGTCATGACAGTCGTCACTTGTTTGTAAACATAATGGTCATTCGGTTGCGAGTTCAACTCCAAGCATGGTTGGGGCCACCTATTCACAGTGGGGAGTTTTGACTGGTGGCAGCGATAGTATAGAGAGCTCCGCAAACAGGCTATCGCTGTGAGGAGCTTGCATCTTCCCAAGGCAAGTGAGTTAACTGTCTCTAAAAGTCCACTTTCATCCTTGCACTGGTGCATGTTTTATATAGCTAAATCAAGCCCTGTGAACTAATGAGGTGAGGTGAAATGGGGTTTAACATCGCGTCCCAAGATTATTGCACTTATACAGCGACGTGCATGTGTGTGTTTGTGTGGCTGCTGGTACTAGTCCGGACTGATGCCGATTTATAGTGCTAGCTCACTGAGATACCATGCTGCAGTTTAACATGAATACCCCACTCAGACACAGTATACTAACTCCGAGCCGACCAGTCCTTGTTTTAGCCCCTCAATGCCGAGTGCCAGACAGGATCGAACCCCGGACCTTCCGCTCCCCGGGGCGGACGCTCTACCACTAGACCACGGAGGCGGTCTGTGAACTAATAAAGAAATCTATCGCACTCAGTCTTTGTGATTGCATTCTTTAGTAGTATTAAAACAGCATTTGTCATATGGCCTTCAAACTTCTGGTGGGGAATAAATCTCAGGTTTTCGGAGTGGCATTCAAATAACAGGATAGCATAGCTGTATATACCGTATTCGACATAATAAGCGCCCAGAGCGCTCTCAAAATTAGAAAAAGGGGGCTCTTATTAGAATATTATTTGGGTGAAAAAAAAACAGAGTTGAAAGATAAAGTTCGTGGTTTATGCTGACAGCCTGAAATGTTTATGTACAACGGATATATTTTTCTAGAAAATAATTGCCCATAATTAAGGGTGCATATAACACACGAGTGCATATTGTACGCGAATAAATAAGTCTTGTGAATATTGATCAATCGGAAGGGGTGCTGATTGGGATTGTTCATTTGCCAATATATCAGCAAATACCGCCGTGGGCGCTTATTAGAGCGGGGCACTTATTACGTCGAATACGGTAATCTGTATATCAATGTAGCCAATGAGACCGATATCAAAACCACTTGCTGTATATTGCATGATGAAGCAAGACTCCGCTCCTATTATGACCAGCAACTAGTCAAGGCCTGAACAGTTGTCAGGCACTCAAAATCAAACTAAGTAAATAGCAGGCCTTGAAAGCATGTAATTGTAAAATACCAGTGTTAGACATTGGCTCTAGTCCTACATGTAGTCCTTGTTAAACTGACCAATAGTTAAGGTATCATAAGGACTAGTGCAAATTTGCCATTTTCAAGGTTTTCTCTATATAAGAGCTCCCGATAAGCTGTGTATCTGTGTAAAATACGTATCAGAAATGCAGAAATACGCAGTAAAATAAAATCCAAGCGTATCAAATACACAACGAACATTACAGATACGCTACAAAAATAAAACTTGTGCGTATCATCAAAATATTGTGAAGTAACCCTGCGTATTTGATTAGCGAATCAGCAACTTATTTTGAAATTATAAACGGGCATTCCGTCAACCTTGCCAAACTCCACGATGACAGTTACATCATGATCATCTGCCATCACACTTTCTTGTGGAAGTATCTTGGTATTTGTGAGTTCTATAAAGCTCTCTAACCCAAATGACACCAGTTTGCAGGGACTAGATGAATAGTGTTGTTAAATATTTACCTGAAATACCCACATGTGTCAAAACTAGAGGGTTACAGAAATTTTTAATACCCAGATAGAATTACTGATACCCAATGATTTTAAAATGCATGGGTAAAATACCCACAACACCAAAAGCGTATCTGGAGCTCTGTCTATATGTTATCATTATAACTGCTAGTGGACCAAAAATGTTAGTTTCTACCACTGAATACCATGGCCATCATCATCATATTATCATCAGACTCAGACAGGACATGTAGGTTACCATGGTTACATGGAAAAAACTATTGAAGTATTTCATGTACAGCTACTGAGTCCAATGAAGGGACAGGACTGCAGCCACCCTGGCCACGTTGGTGTAGTGACTTCACCTGTTCCAGCTCGTAAGCCTTGGATCTGTCTTCATCCAAGTCGGCTGCCTTCCTGTAGGCGAGGGCCAGGCCCCACACCGCCATGATGGAGTACACATTGTCTCTCACCCATGCATGGCTGCTGCTTTCACTGGCCGATAACAGTCCAGTTGCTGGGTTCTGAAACGAGTGTAGGGTAGAATGTACTTATCATGTTTATGTGGCACAGCAAATAATTTTTAGGAGAGGATTTTAGAAATTGTGAAAAGTGTCTAACTCCATTAGAACATTAGGTAACCATGGCAAGTACTGTATATGCCAGTGTACTTTTCTTTAAAATCAATACATATTATCTGACCCATTGAAAACGATACCTCATGTGAATACATTACAGAGCATAGTGATGCCAAAATTTAACTACAGAAAAATTGCAGCCATATAGCGCCATTTCCCAAAGAAGGCCAAATACTGTAAAACGTGAAATTAATGCATCTCCAAAAGAATGCGACCGCTGGCCCCTAGCCAAAAATGTGACTCAATATGAACGCAACACCCCCTCCTCTCAAGCTTCAGTGGATTTATATCTAAAGTAAATGTCCTCTGTCAGGTTTACAGGAGAATCCTCACCTTAATCCAACCTTACATTAATCAAATCACACACCAAATAGCACTGCTTATTAGCGCTGAGTAGAGTACTTCGCTAAAACAATACATCCGTGCTGGCTCGTGTCGGCCTTTGAAGCAGTCGCAAAGAACAAAGACACCATGTTGGGTGGGTGGCGTTTGTCTGGATGTGATCGGTGATGACAAATATGATTGACAATTCACAGGATGTAATTAGTGTTTGAATGACATTGTTTATATACTTGTTACAAGTGCTGCTCAATAAACAGTGATGTGGAATACATAGTTGTTTGTTTTCAGCGTATGTCTAAGTTGGAATTTCTGCTATCCAAAATGTCTTATTGTTGATATAAATGCGATGTTTAATAATGCGAGCAAAGACCACTCGCATTTTTCGCAATTAATTCACGCTCGCGTTAATTTCAAGATTTACAGTAGTCAATTCAGGTGTTTCTCTTTAAACCAAGCATAAATTCTGGAGTAACAGTCACTCAACAGAACACAGCTAATACCATGAATACCAACAGCCAGCTTTTGGCACCAAAACAGGAGCAATCACAAGTGAGCAGCAGAGCAAAGATTTGAATTTGTGTGCAGGGCTCCATTATCCATCCATGTCCACAGAGACAGCAATGCCCACACAGAAAAGGTTAACTTGCACATTTTACAAGTTTTTTATTTATCAATACTAAGTCCCTTGAACAACTTATGAGAGTATGATTAATACTGTTTCCACTTCACCATGTAAAACAGAGCTGTTTTCACCATGACTCAAGATTCTGTCTTTGCCAATTAACATGGCCAAGCCAGATTCTGTGAGAGCATGCATATTGCTGTTTCCATGTGATGTGATTTTGACATGGAATAGTTTTTCCGATTATGCACACAAACAGACTCAGCAATTACACTTTCACATAGACGTATGACAATTGTAGCGCTAACATCATTTCATGGAAAGGGGCCATAGTGAATAAAATGGGAACTGTTATGGCCAAGAATGTTTATAAACATGCACAGATGACAAATCATCAGTTGTGTACATACATATTGCAAATTCCCTGCTTCTGTGTGCACAACGTGATAATTATCTCAACTATAAATTGAAATATACTTCCCTTCTTCACCATGTTCCCACATTGACAAGTAACGTAGTCTAAAATGATCTCTCCGGTGCAACTTCAACTTTATGTTTACAAAAACAACATTAATTAAATCCTGCATAGCCTACCTGATACTTCAAAATACTCTTGTTAACAAGTCTCTGGTAATAATCTAAGCGTATGCCGGAGTTACTTCTGTTCCTCATAATGATGTGTTAGGATTTACTTAAAATTCATTCATGTATCATCCATCGATTTTTAACATCGTCATTGAGATTCCCGTATAAAATGAGCGAACAGATGACCTTCAGATGTGTACGAGGTCAAGGTCGATATACGCAAATTTAGTTTCCAGTTGTTTCGTACATTATTCAGTCCCAAGTTAATATTCACTTTATTAATGATAATTTGTTAACAAACAGTTGAAAAATGTAAGTTTATTTTTTTATTCAGGAGTTCGTTGGAGACATGCCATATGAGCGTCATATCAAGATACGAAAAATAAGGAGGTTCAATCTGCCCACAAGATCGTTCTTTTCGTAACAGACGAAAGAGGTTTCAGAACAAGCGGTATGTATACATTTTCTTGGCAGTTTGATTCATCACATAAAAAGCCGTCTTGTCTGTAAACACTCATGCTATTATGTCGCGTTGAATTAAAAGAGGTTTTATGTGATTGCTCGATCGTATTCTGAAATGTTTTCTCTTTCGATGTTGTGTCACCAGTTTTCGTCACCCAACCATGACTTCAAAGTTTTGTATCTATAGGTAACAGATTTGGTCGAAGGTTTTGAACAGAAAGATGAAAGCTATTGTGTAGTCGGGGATGAAAGTGAATTGATTTGTGTGTATATTACTGAAGGCTATGTTACCTATCTTATGTCATTGACAAGGTCAAGATGGTCACATAAACTACAATAAAACGATTCCAAAAGGCTGAACATGGGAAATCATTACGTAGGCCCAGAGTGTACATGGGTACGACTTACGTTAGCATGGATAGCAATGTGCCTATCAATACCAAAACGAAACCTGTGACATTCACTTAGTTTGTAAGTTTGTAACACAGTCTATATAGATCTAGATTAATGTTAGCCATGATGACTGATCCAGTGCCGTGCTCAGACACAAGATCATGTAACTAATAATAACAATAAAAAAACTCGCAAAATAAATTATAGACGAGGCCAAAAGTTTTTGTTATTGTTATTAGTTATTGTTATTAGTTACATGGTCCTGTGGCTCAGATTACTTATTATAAGACTTTATTATCCCTGTGTTATGTGTATTCTGATGCTCAAGAAACATGAATTGTAGTTTTCTCTCTAATCACATTAACAGCTGTAAAACATCTCATTCAATTATCATGCTTATAAAAGACAACTTTCCCCTTAAAAACAAGCCATCATCTGAGTATTTACAATGTCTGTTTGATGCTACACCCCTTGTTTTAGCACGTGTAATTGTAATAAACATGGCCTTCTGAAAACGTATGATTTCCTTAAACCTATGATCCGATGATATATCCCTGTCTTAGACAAATGATTGATCAACTGCAAAAGAATGTATAATTGAGTATTAATTTAAATAAATTTGTTTTCTTTTATTACAGAAAATGGGTCGCGGTTTTGGTAATTTGGCCAATGTGAGGGGTATTATCACCTACACCCTCTCCCCATTTGAGCAGAGAGCATTTGCTGGGGCTATTTCTAAAGGGGTGCCTAACATGTGGAGGAGGTTTTCAAGCCAAGTTCTCAAAGTCGTACCTCGTAAGTAAATGTCCCAAACCTTTCGAATGTTGGCGTGTTGAGTTCCATGCTTCTTATGACCATGTAAACAACCAACTGAATATGATGAAATGGGTATGGCGATTTTACACAATGTGCCTTTCCTTCTGTAGCATCTACCATATGGAATCTCCATTTTTTTTGCCTTCTCAAGTCACTAAATAATTGTCAACACTTAAGAGGTGACAGTTATACTGTATAACTAATCTTTTTCTTTAAAGTCTTTCGCCGGACATGGGTCTTTGAATTATGGATATAGGAATTTCTTTATCATTGTTATTTATCATATTTCTTTTTAAAAAAAAATTTTTTTCTAAAGGAATAGTTTCTGATGAAAATGGTGTTGCTTTCCATAATACAAGAATGTCTATATTTCAGCCCTTGTTGTGACATATCTGATCTTTGACTGGGGAAAATCAGAACACATGCGGCTCACAAGGAAGGACCCAACAGAATTTGTCAATGACAAATAAGTGTGCATATTTATGGAAACTATAGAACATCTTATTGGCCATTTGAAGAGGAATAGTTGCTTTTATGGCCTGTGCATCACTGAGATATGTCACGAATGTCTAAATCTTGGATGGAAGTGGAATGGGCTTAGAGAAACTGAAGATGTGATGTTTTGTTTGTCAGTAAATTGAAACCTGTTCTTAATAAAAACCATTCTTAGTGTTTGTTCATTATTTGTGATATTTGTTAACAGGGTTGATATACCAAGATGTACAGTCGAACCTTGTTCAGTCAAACTCTTGGGGACCTGGGGAAAAGTTCAAGTTATCTAGGCTTTGAGACAACCAACAAAGTGAATTTTCAAAAACCATACATCGTGTTATGAGGTATTATTCCAAGGTCCGGACACAACACTAGATTTCAAGGCATAAGTAAATGTCAGTGCCCAGGCTGCTGGTCGTGAAGGGGGCAGCAATTCAGGTGTATCGTCCACCTATAGACTGGAAGGTAATTTAAGGTACCGACGTTTACTATCGAACCTACTCCAGTCAAAGTTGGTATGAGATTATTAAACAGTCATACATAGCTGGATATCACATTTAAAGACAATCGGTGCATGAATAAAAAATCTTTCTTTTTTGCTATCACTATATTTCATCAACAACCAGACCTGTTCGTCACAGATGGAAGGAGCATTCATTGAAACAGCCATCTGCATAATGCTACCCCTGCGTCACAGGGCCATATGACACAGTTGAACCAATCAACTCAACTCGAGAGGGTGCATGGGAATCACGCATGCAAGAATACGGTGTTAGCGTTGGGCGTCTCAACGTGCACCCTTTCGAGTTGAGTTGATTGGTTCAACTGTGTCATATGGCCCTGTGACGCAGGGGTAGCATTATGCAGATGGCTGTTCAATGAATGCTCGTTCCACCCATGACAAACAGGTCTGGTTGTTGATGAAATATAGTGATAGCTAAATAGACAAAAAAATTATTCATGCACCGATTGTCTTTAAATGTAATATCCAGTTATGTTTATTATGTTATGACTGTTAATAATCTCATACCAACTTTGACTGGAGTAGGTCCAATAGTTTTTCAGATATTGTAGTAAACGTCAGTACCTTAAATTACCTTCCAGACTATAGTTTGACAGATCAAAGTATAAATGATGATAAATATAAAGGAATCTGCATGGCCTGGAAGGTAAATTCTAGACAACCAGGAATTCGACACATTCAAGTTCAACACGAGGTTCAAGTTTCTGTTGATGACTGCTTACTGTACACTCACTTCCATTTTGGGAACCCCGTGAAGATCCGGGCTAGAATGGGTCTTCAGAAATCCATACTTGCCGTAAGAGGCAACTAACGGGATCGGGTGGTCAGGCTCGCTGACTTGGTTGATGATGCATGTCATCGTAACCCAATTGTGTGGATCGATGCTTATGATGTCAATCACTGGATTGTCTGGTCCAGACTCTTATTTACAGTAGTGTTAAACTACAAAAAAAACTCATGAGTTCAGTTGACTTGACTTCTTAAGGTACACATACTGGTATTTAGAGAATAGACAACAAGAAACTTCCGTCATGAGAGAAAGAAAATCAGTAATTCTTAGTTGTGAGTAGATTGTTTTATATTTTACTCATTTTAAGAAAGAAACTGAAGAAAAACATGATACCCTATTCGACGTAATAAGGACACTCTCAAAATTAGAAATAGGGGCTTCTTATTAGAATATTATTTTCGTGGTTTATGCTGACAGCCTGAAATGTTCATATACGACAGATATATTTTTCCAGAATTTAATTGCCAACAATTAAGGGTGTATATAACACACGAGTGCGTTTTATATGCGAATAAATAAGTCTTGTGTACATTGATTAATTGGAAGGGTGCTAATTGGGATTGTTCACTAGCCAATATATTAGCAAATATCGCCGTGGGCGCTTATTACATCAAATACGGTATGTCCACCTTTCAGAGAAACTTCCCTGAAGTCATCTTTTTGTTCAGATGACAAGATGTTACCAGTTTGTGAAGTCATGAAGCAGTGTGGTATCTCTTCGACTGGTTGATCAGCATTGAGAATAGCTAAAGCGCACATGCACCAATATTGGAAAGGCGTTGCACACAATGTTTCTACTCTAGGGGGTAATGTTTCAGCTTGTGCACTGTATAGCAGTATTATCGTGAGAACATCTGTCTCCTGTGGTCTGGCTATTCCAATATGGCCTGTAAACAGTTTGCAGGTCTTTACTTTGACACATACAAAGAGAGATTCCGCCTTCTCACGGACTGGCAAAATTGTAAAACTTTTGTAAAACAATTGTAAAAGGGTTGTTCAAATTTACTCCCTTAATACAATATTCGATGGAATAAGCACCCAGGGTGCTCTCAAAATTAAAAATAGGGGGCTCTTATAAGATTATCATTTTGGTGGAAAAAAACAGTTGAACGATCATCAATTTCTTGCTTTATGCTGACAGCCTGAAATGATACAAAAGAAAAGTCTGTGCGTATTATACACGACATATATTTTCCTAAAATGTATTTGCCCATAATTAAGGGTGCGTACAACACGAGTGCATACACAAATAAATGTCTTGAGTGCATTGAAAAGGGTGCTTATTGGGATTGTTCACTTGCCAACATATTAGCAAATATTGCCATGGGTGCTTATTGCATTGAATAAGGTAGCTAATAAATGTGAAGATGCTGTCATGACTTCAGTTAAATGTTTTCTATCAGCCAATTACAGACCGTGTAATTGTTACCATGGCTTCTGAAGTGAATGCTATCCCAGGCTCAACTGCCCTGTGGAGATTCTGAGTCTTAAGCAACCTATGCTTGTCATATAAAGAGGCAACTGAATGTAATGTAGACTCGGTCACTTAGTTGTGTCATTGTACCACATCATGGCTTGTTACCCATAATATCAATCAAGGTTTGTCTGGTCCAAACTATTATTTACAGGCCGCAATCTTACTGCTGGAATATTGCCGAGTATTGCTTTACACAACAAACAAACAGCTTTAACTCTTTAAAGACGTTTTTATTCTTTCAATCAACAAGTACATGTATCTTTAACTTAACAATACATGAGGTCTTTCAAACAATATTTGTAATGAGTTGTAATTCATGACGACTATGACCCATCAAGAGTCTGTGAAGTCCTTGTGGTATGTGTGTACCAGTGAGTGAGTTGGGTTTAACACCGCTTGTAACAGTATTCCAGTTATATCACGGCTTGTCAGCTTAATGTGGGAGGAAAGCCCGAAGTGATGCAGGTCTCAGACGTTTACCCCTTCGGGGAAACCCACGAGCACGGGTATGGTGCTGACAAACCTAGAAACATAATCGGGGCGAAACCGGGATTTGAACCCACTATCATAGGTTTCTGGCGTGCCCAAGGGATGCAACTCTGCACAGCGAATCGCGGTGCCTGACGACTGGGCCTCCCGTGCCCCCATGTGTGTACCAGTGCATAACAGTACAAGAGTAGTACATTTGCTCTACAGTCACAGCATCCTTGTTATCTCAAGGGCTCGCATTTCGGTAAACATACACTAACTCCTGGACCCATTCACAAGTTTTTTTGCGATCTTAAATAACCTGCCCTTGATTCATTAACATTTTACCGATCGGAGGTCAAGATAAGGAAAAAGAAAATTGGTAAGGGAGGCAACTCCTATTGCCTAGAAACCAAACCCACCGACTTTTATGGACATGAAGACATCCTTCCCATCAAAATCATTTTTAGGGCTTTCCACTGCATGTTTTGGTACGTTAGACCTAGTAATATATAGCAGTCAAATTGGCTAAAGGAATCAAGGGCAGGTAATTGAAGATTGCGAAAACCTTGTGAATGGGTAAAGGGGCGAGTGTAGGTTTACCGAAATGTGAGCCCTGGAGATACAGAGGATGCAGTCACACCGGTACAACCATCTTCAGAGGGAATTGAACAAGGACATAGGAGGATCATCGACAAAAATATGACACCATTAGGGAAGGCTCTATTTTCAGCACATCAAAAACCTCTGATCCACCAATGCAGCTCTTTTTTTACCCTTGTCCCGTGAAGATTCCGGGGTAGAATAGGTCTTCAGCAACCCATGCTTGCCGTTAAAGGTGACTATGCTTGTCATAAAAGGTGACTAACGGGATCGGGTGGTCAGGCTCGCTGACTTGGTTGATGCATCTCATCGATCCCAATTGCGTGGAATGATGCTCATGATATCAATCACTGGATTGTCTGGTCCAGACTCGATTATTTACAGACTGCCGTCATATAGCTGGAATATTGCTGAGTGCGGCGTTAAACAACAAACCAACAACTTTTGGGACTAGTGGTTCAGGCTTAAAAAAAATAAAAGAATCGGTTCTCAGGCAATGACTTAATTGCGAGTGGGCAGGCGTTGTTTTGTATTTTTTGCTGGTTTTAATTAGTATGTAACCAAATAAACAGTTGTGTATCATCAACATGGGAAAGGGCCTCCCTTCATAAACAAGCATACAAACTCCTATTGCCGCAATGACCATAACAAGAGATGCGCAGTTAAGCAGTGCGCGTGTAAAGGGAAATAACTGCGTGCTATATTGGATCACATTGTTTTTAAGTGTGAGGATTTAAAATTAAAAAAAAAAAATTAAAATGGAAATAAAAAAGAAACGTGCGGCTGACTTTATGATGGTGCGGACGGTGCCTGAGAACCAAGACTAAAATTTTTTTTAGCCTGATGTAAAATAACTAGATTTTGCTTAAAAACAACTCCTCTCCGTGGCCTTGTCTACCCTTGCGAAAACTGAGTTGGTGAAGTTAACATTGACTTGATCATGTTGATAACTGTTAATATATATTCTTTATTAATATTCTTTTACTATTCATTTTCATATCACACAGCATACCTCCTGTGTAAGTGCAATATGATTTTTATGAAGAATATTGCAACTTAACAAAACTTCTTTCTGCAAGCAACAAGACACTGATGGCTACTTGATTCAACTTTAGAGATGAGAATATATAGATCAATGATTGAATTATGCATTGACAATAGATTTGAAACTTATTCTCAGGGTAACACACAGTCAGTTTACTATTGCACATTTCCACGATCCCAACACAACCTAACATGGCTAGAGATGGGTGAACTCTGTAGAAAGGATCCAGGCAAGTTGTACAATGTGGAGGGCAGGTAAGTGAGACTGAGCAAGTCTCCACAGCGTTTAAAGTTGACGACCATGTGCATTTGAGGAAGACTTCCGGAATGATGGCGGGACCTCGCTCTTCTCAACTCAGGAGGATAAGTGCTGTACAGCCTGAAGTGAAAGACAGAGGTTATATTAGAAATTAACACAACCTGGTAGCTTGCAGGGCCCCGTTCCACAAAGCGATCTTAGCGCTCAGTCTGTCGTAAGTCTATGTTAAAGTATGGGAGTTGCGATCATCTTAGTGCTACGATCGCTTTGTGGAACGGGGCCCAGGTCTGTGGCTACTAACATATTCATAGGGAAAGTGAGCGAGTGAGTTGACTTTAACCTCACTTTGAACCTTATTCCAGTTATGTCAGGGTGTGTCTGCTTAATGTGGGAGGTAAGCCCAAAGTGAGGCAGGTCTCAGACGTTTACCACTTTGGTGAAACCCATAAGCACAGATATGGTGCAGACAAACCTGGAAACAAAATTAGAGTGAACAAGGATTCGAACCCATGACCATACCAATGTAGGTTTCTGGCGTGCCCAGAGGACGCAACTCTGCACAGCGAAGGGCAACGCCTTAGACAACTGTGCCACCCATGCCCACCATAAAGTTAAGGGGCGGTCGGGTAGCCTGGTGGTTAAAGCGTTTGCTCGTCGCGCCGAAGACCCGGGTAGATTCCCGACATGGGTACAATGTGTGAAGCCCATTTCTGGTGTCCCCCGCCGTGATATTGCTGGAATATTGCTAAAAGCGGCGTAAAACCAAACTCACTCACTCACCATAAAGTTAAGAGTATGTCTTCAAGTGCACACAAACAAGACTAAAACATATATGATATTACATACTATATAAGACAAAAACAAGCAAGGAATTAAGCTGTTATATTCGAACTGACATTGTTATATTCAATATTTGACATTTCTTAGTGACCTGCTTTTTGTAACCTGGAACTCCAGCAATAAAGGTTGTGAGTCCCCTAGACCTCCAACATAAATAACCAAGGTAAATCCTACATATCTAGTAAATATTTCTGACAACCTGCCCAAGCCCACACAGGATAGTAATTTCCACACATCCTAAGTGTCTGGCACTTCAGATAAGGCTATCAGTAACTAGGTCAATAACTAGCCATGCACAATACAGAAGATAAAGCTGATTCTCCCTGACACATTTCAAGTTTGTTCAAACTGTCATATTTTCTTTTTATTAAATAAACTGACAAAAATGTCATACCTTCTAACTACTTAAACCATAATCTGTTGTCTCCTTTACCTAAATATTACTGCATTGGAAACTAGGCCTGGGTCGAGCTCAAATTTACTACCCGGATATCCAACCCCACTATTACCTGACCCTACCAGGATACCCACTGTAGGTCTCAAAATGTGGGAACAAAATGTCTGATTGGGAATTGTTTTACCGCAGCCCTGGCAAAACCTGTTCAGATACATGTCTCAAACGATCAGATCATGCGGACACGGAAGTGGACTGAAGCGTTATCTTTATTCAAACATATAAAAGTCAGAAGGAATGTGTGCATCGTCAGAAGGAAATGTGAACATTAGTGTCTTGTTGTGTAGAATTTCTGTCATGAAACAATACCGGTATATCATGTGACTAACCACGGGTCCAGGTAGTACTGTGGGTACCTGGGTCCTACTCAGTACCCACCCGACCCGAGTACCCAAGTTACCCGTCGCAGCCCTAATGGGAACCTAGACAATCTGATGCCCAAATACTTCATTGTCTGACATTGTAACCACTTCTCTGTTTGAATCTAAAACAGTCTACTTCCTCACAGTGTAACCAGGTAATTCTACACAGAGTAAAGTCATCACTATTCATAGCAGATAAGACAAGGATAGCATTTTAACCCCAGTACAGGTCAACGTTATAAATCACAGAGGAAACATCCATACCATTATTGGTAACTAGCCTTTTCATAACAAAATCTTATATTTATTCTAAGGTTAAAAAAATAATGCAGAAATGATTGAAATATCCTATTTTGGCAACATACAATGAAACTTACCTTCCCTGCTCCCTCCAATGATGCGATCAGTTTCTTGAGGTCAGTTCGGTCTAGTTCAAGGGAGACAACTCTGTTGTGATTATTGCAGTCCGCCACCTGTAGGTCGAGGTTGAGGAGTGGAGTGTGGAGAGAGGATAGCTTGTCACTCGACATCACCAACTGTCAATGCAAAAGTCTGAATCAACATTATGAAGACTTAAGAATTAATAAGACTATCAATAACTGCCAAATAGCATAACTGTAATTCATGGGCCATAGAAAGTAATTCTAAAGGACTGCCCACAGCTGTCTTAAACCTGGCAGAATCATTAGTTCTTGTCTGTATACTAAATGCAAGAATTGTAGAGCACCTTTTTACATTCCCTGTCTGTGCAAAAATTATCTGAATCTAATAGCCAAAACATGATCTTAGCATCAATTTCAGTAGATTTCAGTGTTGTTATATGGACAGATATTTAAAAGCTGAGAAGACATTTTTACCCCCACTCACACACTCACTAGTGTTGTAGAGTGATTGCGTGATCAATCCTCACTCACTCATAATCAAATAAGAACATAAACAATAACATTTGCCACTGAAAGCGGATCTACTTAAATGATATAGAGAAAGAGAGGTTTCCTAGTCTGACACTAGCCTGACCCAGAGTCGTCGTAAATCACGGACTTCTCCTCATGACTAACTGTGTTGACAGTGACTGTATGTCTGCATGATATGTCAGATTATTATCATTCAGTTTAGACTGTTGAAACTTTTCTGGGGAAAATTTCGGCTTGTCCATTATTTCTTTCCAACAGTAAATATTGAAAATTATTAATAAATATCTTCTGTTGAGGTTAAAGTTGGTCCCCGGCACCTATGCATGTTGTACCGAGGGGGCTTAACAGATCGGAGGTTCAGACTCAATAACTTGGTTGATTGCGTGACATCATACCGCATAGCGTGAACCGTTGCTCACGATTTGTCTGGTCCACTATCAGTGCCTGAAAGCTGGAATATGGCTGAGAAGCTTTTAACAACAAACAAAGTTATCATCATAACTTGTGCTGTTAATGGACTATCGTGCAAGTGTGGTTTAAACTCACAATATTCCAGCCATACGACAGCAGCCTGTAAAATACCCAACTGATCGATAGCGTGACCAACGATCCACAGTCAGTGAACAATGATACACCATCAACCAAGAACTGAGCCTGACCACCCGATTGATAAAGTTGCCTTATAACCAGCATAGGTTGTTGTGTACCAGTTCTAACCTGGAATGGCTCAGGCCAGTTATGGTATGAGTGAGTGATAGTTTAGATCACTGCAACACAAACACCAGTGGTCAACAGTACAATCATCGATCTCAACCATTTGGGTGTGAAGACATGCAATCATCCAAACTGAACTGACACTTCGACCTACCACAACAGACATTGTCAGACATTGTGACATTAGTAAATATCGCCGTGGGCGCTTATTAGAGTGGGGCGCTTATTACGTCGAATACGGTATATGGAGTACCTAGATTCAATACTATAGCAATAACCAAAATAAAGTTTCTATCATTGAGGATAGATGTATGTTTAACCTTTCTTTTACCATATCATGACATTTTCAAAAAGTAATACATTTCCTTTTGTCAAATAGAGTAATTTTTATTCAGCAGATTCAGAGTGAAAGAAAACATTGTAATAATAAATTTAATTTTTTTAGTTCCTAAAATTGATGGTTGGAATACTGCTATGAACTTTTAATGTTCCTGTACAATTCTCACAATGTGTGTCTATTCTACCGACTGAAAACATTACACATATGTTTCGACTGACTTCTTTAGGAATTTATTGACCAAAAATGTCATATTTTGCACCCTTAAGCTATTTTCTCGTTACCAGTTCATCTAATCAGGTCAGCCTGTTGGAGGCTAACAGATTATTACCTAAATCAATAAACATGATAAGCTGGATCAGGATGGGAAGCATTCAGGATTATGCAATAATTTTCATAGCTCTCTGGATTATGAAATATTATGCTGCAGTGCTTAGGGGAATATTACATCATCAGTACCTACAATACACACAAAGTTTCCCCAGCACCTGTTATATACCACTCCATCTTTCATATTGATACATTTAATCTGCCATGCCATGACATATATTTACATATACCCGTCAGAGCTCCAGATAAGCTGCGTAAAATACTCATCAGAAATGCAGAATACGCAGTAAAATATAATCCAATCATATCAAATACGCAACGAACATTACAGATAAGCTACAAAAATAAAACTTGTGCGTATCATCAAAATATTGTGAAGTAACCCCGTGTATTCGATTAGCAAATCTGCAACTTATTTTGAAATTATAAACGGGCATTCCGTCAACCTTGCCAAACTCCACGATGACAGTTACATCATGATCATTTGCCATCACACTTTCTTGTGGAAGTATCGTGGTATTTTTGAGTCCTGTAAACCTCTCGAACCCACACAACACCAGTTTGCAGGGACTAGATGAATAGTGTTTTTAAATATTTAACTTAAATACCCACATGTGTAAAAGCTAGTGGGTAACAGTAATTTGAATACCCAGATAGAATTACTGATACCCAATGATTTTAAAATGCATGGGTAAAATACCCACAACACCAAAAGCTTATCTGGAGCTCTGCCCGTAAAACACACCTCTAATACATAAACACCTGCAATAATTTAATGTTTATTCCTGCTTTTCCTCACAAGGTTAGTCGAAGTAAAAAATAAAAATAAATAGCTATGTTAATCACCTATTTATTTATATGAAAGTCATTCTGTCGTGGAGTTTAAACTGCAGCTAGCTTCTTGAATCACTGATAGTGATGTAGACATGGAATTTATAGATAACATTTTATATTGTATGAGAGGGTCTATATTACTAGCAGGCGATATAATAAACATAAGTCTATCATGTTTAATTTGTTTCTTTTCCAGCTGCTTTTCATGGGGAGTGGCAGGCCCGTGAAACAAAAAATAAAACTTGTGAGGAAATCAAATGTAAAATACACTTGATTATTCACTCGATTTACAATAAGATGGAATTATTCTCATATGTAAACATTAAGCAGAGACCATATAATAGATTATATTATATGGTCTCTGCATTAAGTAAAGAACTAGTGTGAATAAATTGAAATAGCAAAATAAAATATACACTAGATCTAGTATAACTAGAATAAATAAAAGAATCTATATCATAATATATAAAGTATTTTCACCAAAATGTTATTTTTTGATGAAAAATAATATCACATTCATAAAAATGATAATCATATTGATGCAACCTTGTTGAGATTAACAAATAATGTAATAATTTTAGCATTTCTCTACCGTAGAAAATTAAAAATACCTGTGGCCTAAATGTTTTTAAGTGAAGCAGTTTCTATGATAAAAGATGAATCTCTTTATATTTCTAAAGGATCTGAAGCTTGTGACATTCACTACACAACATTTTTGATTTAAACATATTTATTCACAAGGAGTGAACGGGATTGGGGGACAAGTTCTTCCAACTTAGAATGCCCTCTCCCTGGTATTTACAAAAAATTCACAATTTCAAATTCAATATATATGCATAAAACATAAAACACTATAGATGAGAGAGAGAGAGAGAGAGAGAGAGAGAGAGAGAGAGAGAGAGAGAGATACATTGTTGAATGAACAGTACTTTACACAAATCTTTTAGTTGTACATATATAATGTTGTACTGCCTTAAATATAGCTTCATTTTCTGTAGCAACGTGATCTGCATTGCCGTATAACAGTAAGTGTACATCAACAGGTATGTTATGAACAATATTTTTAAGGCTGTTTAACATAATTTCACGCTGATGACTAAACAATGGACATTCCATGAGATAATGATATGCACTTCCTGATCACTACAATGGTAGGTACAACAGCAGAAGTGTAACAGGACAGAAAGCTGTTCTCATGCGAGACAAGGAACTCAAACTTGAGATGTGGGTTACTGCCATGGCAACAATCAGTTTTGGACAAACTAAAGAGGAGCTACTTTCCACAGTTCAGAACAGAATATGTCTTAGACAATCCATGCGAAGAGAAAGAGCCATTTTGCTAAGTGTTACCATCTTCCCGAGGCAAGAGAGTTAACTGACTTTTAAAGTCCAGTTTCCACCCTTGCCGAACTAGGCTGGAATTACTGGGCTCGATCGTAGCGCCACCAATGGCTATTACGAGTTATGTCCCTTCTATGCCTCTCCTATGGACCAATCAGATTCCACCTCTCGTATCACTTGGGTTTGCTTCACACAAAATGGTGGCACCCAGTCAGGTTGATCTGATAGATAATGAAGATCTATATTGTGACAAAGGGGGTCTTACATCGCGAAATGCACCAAAACACGTGAGCACCTTCATTAAAAACATGAAAAGATTTGGAAAATATTTCTTGACAACAAGTTGGCGGTGCACATGCGTTGCAAATCCTGCAATCGACCGAAATCTGCACAACAGTTTACGAACCGGATTTCGATGTGCGATTTTGATTGGACTATGCATAGACTCGTTAGTCCAGCCAAAATGTAACTCCATAATACCAGCCTAGTTCGGCAAGGGTGGGAACTGGACGTTTATAGTCAGTTAACTCTCTTGCCCCGGGAAGATGAAGTGTTACATGTCGTTGTGCACTAGAGCTGGGACGAGTCTAAATTTACTACCCAGGTACCCGACCCCCTATTACCCGATCCTACCCGGGTACCCACTGCAAGTCTCAAGGGTTGGGAACAAAATGTCTGATTAGATACATGTTTCAAACAATCAGATCATTTGTTCACTGATGTTGACTGAAGCTTTATCTTTACTCAAACATATACAAGTCAATATATGGTGTCAGTGCCTGTCTTGACTTTTCTGTTTTAGATCTAGTACAATGAGTACTCTAGGAAATTTTGAAACCTATACTCTGTTGACATCTACCAGTCACCTAGTCACATGACCACATTGGCATTGTTTTGGGTCTTACACAGTTATGATTTCATAAGTATTTATTTAGCACTACACACAGGCACTAGTTACTTAAAAGTATTACTTCAATTCACGTTGTCTGTTATTGCCGGCTATTGGGGCTTTCACCTTACCATATCGGTAATACCTGCCCCCTCTCTACAAATTGAAATTTCCAAATCGAGATTGTAAAAACATGAAACTGCAAGCTGACAGTTGATCAACTCCTTGAGTTCTATTAGAGTTTGAAAAGCCTCTGTATTCCAATAAAAAGTTGAGAAGTACCATATTCGACATAATAAGCGCCCAGGGCGCTCTCAAAATTAGAAATAGGGGGCTCTTATTAGAATATTATTTTGTCGAAAAAAAACAGAGTTGAAAGATAAATTTCGTGGTTTATGCTGACAGCCTGAAATGTTTATATATGAGAGAGATATTTTTCCAGAATTTAATTGCCCATAATTAAGGGTGCATATAACACACGAGTGCGTATTATACGTGAATAAATATGTATTGTACACATTGATCAATCAGAAAGGGTGCTAATTGGGATTGTTCACGAGCCAATATAATAGCAAATATCGCTGTGGGCGCTTTTTACGTCGAATACGGTATATAATCCACATCGAAACTCTCTGGAATTAAGTGAGTGACGAAATGCTGTTTTACGCTGCAGTCAGCAATATTCAAGCTGTTCAACAGCAGCCTGTCAACAATCAAGTCTGGAGCAGTGGCTGACTGTATGAACAACGATCCATGACACTAGGGCAAGATGACAATCAACCTGCTCACACACTGCAACCAACCAATCGTCCCTACTCGGCTCTTACAACATGGGAGAATGGTGGCCGACTTTGGCCCTGAATCTCCACGGGGTACCTGGAAGAAAAGTTTTCATGTCATTCTCTACCTTCATTTGCCAGTCAAAGTCTGCCAGTACATTCTGTGAGATGGCAGCTGTTGAGGCAAGCAGACTTTTCCGGAGGTCCTCTCTACGCACACTAACCACTTCCATAACAGTTTGCTTGTAGTCATCTGGCAACGAGCCAAGCTTTCCAAAAATCTGATAAAAACAAAATGTTTACTTTTCAAACATTAACACTTTAGCACCATATTATCCAAGTATAGCAATGATCACCGTGGCAATGTCAATTAATAATTTTGAGATGCAGGGTGATGACTCAAATGATCTTAGGTTCGGAAAAAAGGTTTTGTTTTAACTAGTCTAAATGTCAGTTTGTTATGAATGTATGATTGAATTACCTCATCTTTAGTCCATGAATTCTTAATACTCAGTTTTAGCAGTGAGTGGATACTTTCGGTGACATTCCACCATTCTTCCAAACTCCATAGCTTGGAATAGGTGTTGTAATCCAGGGGCTGTCGACTGCTGATATTAGCAACTACTGTGTGACATAACTGAAACAAAATAAGAAAATTGTAAAAAAAAGGGATAGAGCGATTCACCAGAGCATGTTGTTGTAGCAGGACGCTCAGTCAGGAGAGCACGAGACTCTGAACCTCGGGGTCGTGGGGCTGAGCACGTTCATATTAAATTTGAGCAAAATAAGCCTCAGTACCCTACTATAAGGCCCGGGACATGCCTTCTGTTGACGGGGGAGTATGTAGCAGGACGTGGAGTCATCCCACAGATGACATCCTTACCTTGTCAGCCTTCTGACGGGGTTAACCTCTTTGGTCATGTGGACAAGGCGTCCGACCTCTGATCAGAAGGTCCGTGGTTCGAATCCCATCAGGGGACTCGTAACTTTTATGGCTGCTATATTGTCATCAACTGATCATGCATGTGGGGTGCAATATGCTGACTTGGTCGATGCATGTCATCGTATCCCAGTTGTGTGGATTGATGCTTATGATGTCAATCACTGGATTGTCTGGTTCAGATTCGACTTTTTACATACCGCCGTCATATAGCTCCAATATTGCTGAGGCGTTAAACAACAAATGAACAAAACAAACATCATAAGTGAAATAATATAGTAAAAACAAATTGATTTGTATGTACATGTTTAACAATTTCAGCTATTATCTAGCTGTTAAGTACTTTAATAGATCTGATGTCATGACTGGTGTCTTCAATCAAATGGTGACAAAGAAATAGATTGTAGTAAATTTGCCCACTGTTTATATTAACAAACAGATGGGGGCGTGGTCATTTTAACATTCATGTCACATGCAGTCTTGTGATTCAGCACGTCCGTGTCTTTATGATGTTACCCACAGATTTTGCTGCATGTAGCACAGATGTTGACGCATTATCAGCCAATTATTTCACTTATATCAAAGAAACCCATTTCAATCTTACAGCATTTAGTTCACCAATTGAACATTTTGTCAACAATGTGACGACATCCCCTTGTATCGTGTCAGCCATGTTATCAGGTGCGTGCATCAATGTCAAATCGTTTTCAATTGGTCGAATCCAACGCCTTTAGCCAATCAAAATCGCTTTTGCATCGTGTGTGTACACCAATAGTTACCAGCCCAGCAATCGATCTGAACAGATGTGAGTTTCTGGGCATATTCTGGTTGTCCCAAAAGCGGGATAGGAATGCTGTATAATGGCGGAAGTAAGTTAGACAGTGCTTCGGACGGTAGAACCGATCCGAGAAGGGGAGAGATAAAAGTTAAGCCACGTTTTCGAGATTGAATATGACCGATTTGTGATGTGACATGTCCATTCTGTGATGACAACAGGATGCACGCAACGCATGGGTATAGCATGTCCAGTTTATATAGGATTTACCATAGCAACTACGTATACAGGTGATGAAGTGTGTTCAAAAGGAAAGGTGTTGAATTTGTGGTGAATGACACTTAAGAAAATACAACAATTCACTGATGACAGACATCGCGTTGTGTGTGATGCTACCATAATCATAACATAATCAACAGATTCCAGTAAAACGTGACAATGGGAAATATATTCAAGAGAAGCAATCAGCAAGGTCCCAAGTTCCGAACTGTGGTTCCAAATCAGACGGTAGAAGAAGAAATCAAATTGAAAACACATCCAAACTATGGGTACCGATCAAACCGCATTAAGACTACAAAATACTCTGTATTAACATTTTTCCCCAAAAATATATTTGAACAGTTTCACAGATTTGCAAATTTATATTTCATATTTGTTGTTGGATTGAACTGGGTGCCAGAAATTCAAGCTTTTGGAAAGGAAATTGCCATGATTCCTGTGATATTTGTGCTGGCTGTGACTGCCATCAAAGATGGATTTGAGGATTTTAGGCGATACAGATCGGACAAGAAAATCAACGGCCAAAACTGTCGAGTTTATTCGAGGTGGGTATTTCAAATACTTCTAAGTGGTGGAAGGTTGTGGCAATATGATAAAACATATTGTCATATACAACATTTTTCAGGAGTGTCTGATTATGTGTTTCACAACAGTGGTATAGATCTATGTAGACCAGCATCACTTCGAGCTTTCATCCCACATTAAGTTGGCGTGCCATTGTAAGCGATTTCCGTTACACCATGATATTACTGGAATACTGTTTAAAGCAGTGTTAGGCTCAACTTCCTCTTTCTAGGCATGTACAGTATACCCAGCGACCTTAAATCACCAGGTATTCACATTTATTGTGAAACCATTCAAACATTCGTATCACAGTGATATGTGAGTGTCCAAAAGTGAATCAAGGTATATCAATATTGTTGTCAATACACTTGTAACATTTTACTTAGTTTAAGCTGAGTATATACCACATACTGTCAACAGAAACTTCAAATATTAACAATTGATTAAGGGGGCGGTCGGATAGCCTAGTGGTTAAAGCGTTCGCTTGTCATGCAGAAGACCCAGGTTCGAATCCTGACATGGGTACAGTGCGTGAATCCCATTTCTGGTGTCCCCTGCCATGATATTGCTGGAATATTGCTAAAAGCGGCGTAAAACCATACTCACTCACTCACTCATTTAAATATTAAGAGATTGTCCAAATACCAAAGAAATAATGTGTCATGAAAGGAATAATGGTTTTGTCAATGAGCACTTTGATCTGAGAAGGTTGAGAGAAACATGAAACTGTCAGTTCAGTTTTCATATGCCTATCAACTATTAGCACAAGTACTGTTTATTTATGGCCTAATGGTAGCATTGTTGATCGTTAACAGTTGCTGTACAATGTACTTTCTCTTTCTGTCAGAGCAGTATTCATGGTATTTGTAGCCCTTTTGGAAACAATAAGTCCTTGGACTTCCAGCACAATGAAGATGGGAGACCATAAAATTTATTGAGAGCGGCTGTAGGTGAATTTGTAATTAAACTGGTTCGTAGCCATGGATAATTTGCAGACACTCCCAGCTCGTAGACAAAATTCAGAGTGAACTTGGTAGACAAAACCAGTAAAGTTGGGTAGTAGACTTAAATATTGATTTATTACATACACTTATTGAATATTATGTGGCAAATGTATTTCACATCTTCAATTTTAGATAAAATTATTGTTATGCTCTTGTCCTTCTCTGCTTGGATGTATTTACCAGATTATCTGTTTATGATAGTATTTACAAAGGATCCTACTAATCTTATAAAACAAAACAATAGTACGATAATCCCCTACTTAACTCATCACATACTGAATGATCCTACTGTTGTTTCCATATTGGATATGCTTACCGGATTGTTTATTTATTTAGGAAGGACCCAGCAAAAGGAATACTAATACTTACCATATTTTTCATTTAACACTTTCACAAAAGTACCTGCAAAACAGAACATTCAGAAAGAGAAACGAATTTTACAACCAATGAACATGATGAAAAGGTGTCTTTCATTTAGGAACTGGCGCAACAGATCACTTGCCTTTTTGTACAAATAACTTCCTATATCTAAAATTGTGTCTACGAATTCATTCCCTGCTTGTCAATGAGTTCACTGTTAATTTTGCCTATGTGTTGGTGGTATCTATGAATGCACCACATTATTGAGAGCCACTGAGCATTAATGAGTAAGTAAGTGAGTAAACGTTGCAGCTTTCAACTGGCAGCGACTGGAATTCATCCTAATATCCTTATCAAAATAGTTCATAATGGTTAACTTCATGAATTAACTAGCATTAAGACTGGAAGAAATTAATTAAATTTGGGAGGTTATTCTATATTCGTCATCATAATACCTAAGAATGTGAGGGGTGGTGGGGTAGCCTTGTGGTTAAAGCGTTCGCTCACCTCACCGAAGACCCAGGTTCGATTCCCCACATGGGTACAATGTGTGAAGACCATTTCTGGTGTCCCCTGCCGTGATATTGCTGGAATATTGCTAATAGCGGCGTAAACCATACTCACTCACTAACTCATGTCATTCAACTAAGGAGGTTTCTAATACTGAACCATTGCGATAAGGAAATTTTCCTGAGGCAGGGCCTATTTATTGCTGGAATATTGCTAAAGTTGGGGACCATACTCACTAAGAATGTAATGAGGCACTGATGAGACAGTAACCTAGGTTGACATGCTGATCCTAAGTATTAGATGTTGGTACTCACAATGCTTATATATATCACCCGAACCGACCAAACACGACTGTAGCTCACCAACATCGTTGAAGGGTTCATAAATAAACTAAATAAATAGAAATGAAAGCCAACCTATATCTATACCTATACTTTGTTCAAATGACATGTGAGGGGGCGGTCGGGTAGCCTAGTGGTTAAAGCGCTTGATCGTCACGCCGAAGACCCGGGTTCAATCCCGACATGTGTAAAGCCCATTTCTGGTGTCCCCCGCCGTGATATTGCTGGAATATTGCTAAAAGCAGCGTAAAACCAAACTCACTCACTCACTCACTCACTCAAATGACATGTAATTTGATGTTAAGATGTGTAATTAGCATGATAAGAGATTATTTGCCACAATTAATGGGTCTGGCTCTACATGTTTTTAATCACTGAGCTTTGAGGAACTATCTGCATTCAAGCAATATAGATCCATATCATATGATGAGTGGTATGTGAATTATGGGAACATTGTTTTAGTCAAAACTGAGAAATATTTAGATTAAGATCAGTGATGTGCATAGGGCACTGCTTTAGTGTGTTTTTTTTCATGATACTTTTGAATATGACGACAATAACTTGGTCACCGATGGTTGATCTAAGTGATGGAAGTGTTGACTACCTGTTGGCATGCCAACCGGTCAATGCTTGCTGTTCTCGTTCACCAACTGATCTGGTTGATTCTGTTTGATACACTACACACATGAATTCTACATAATTATTCAAGACATGCGATTCTTTCATATTAATACATGTAATAAATATAATTCAGCATTTTGGTATGTACGAATGGTGATGGGGGATTATTTTTAGCCATCGCAGAATTAAATAGGATTTTTATTGGTCGGTTGAATGACAAAGCATTGTCATGATTATTCTTCTATACTTCATACAGTTTTATCAGTTAATATGTCCTTGCCAAAATTAGATGTAATTTGTAAACTGTAAACACAAACGATAAATAGTGTTGCAGTTTGTGACTTTAGTAGCTTGTCCACAGTTGAAGTCTCTTAAAATTCTGTTTGGTCCAGTAAGCATAATGGTAATTAAGCTCAGGTAGAAATAGTCCATATTATAACTCATTGCTCTACTGAATATTGAAGCTTAAATTTAGAGCCATATTCAAGCCATTAGACTCAATAGTGGGGATGAAGAGATGAAGAAAAAGGAAATAAACTGTCCTGTGATATGTTGAAATTGAGTTGTTCTGGACCATTCTTTTTGATAAAATGAGCGTTACAATCAAAGTACATCATACTTGTCATAATACTTATTATCTCTTAACCTAAAGGACTACATGTTGCCGTGTTAGATCATTAATATTTTATTTTGCACAAAATACAGATTCAACTTTAACGTTTTGTAGGGAAAATATTAGACATTTGCAACCTTGCCCAAAGAAATCAGCCTACAGATGTAGACATTGTGATAAATACAAGAAGACAATTATTGTATGACTGATGCTAATCTCTGCCTAAAACATATACATGATATAAACTCTGTTTAGATGAAAAACTACCAGTCTTAAGTTCACTACTGGTTTTCCACTAAGTGGACTATAGCATACAACAAAAATAGAAACTATAGGCATGTCACCATGCTTTGAGTGTTCGAGTAATTGAAATTTGTTATTTTCATTATTTTTCTGTTGGTTATGATTATACTGGCATTTGAGGGTGAGTAGATGAGAGTGCTGTGTGTTTGTACCCACAAGTCTGAGTATTAATTTACCAACTTGAAGGGGAGTTTAGTGTTGTAGGCACATGCTGCCTCTCATGATGTTGGATTTGTCTTTTGATAACTGTGTAAACATTGCCACCCCACCACCACCACCCCTGCACAACACATCCCCCCCCCCCCCCTCTCTCTCTCTCTCTCTCCTCCTCTCTCCCCAATTCTTTTGAAAACCAATGTGGTGTAGACAATTGCACCTTTTCCCCACCCGTGAAGATTCAGGGTAGAATAGGTCTTCAGCAACCCATGCTTGCCATAAACAGTGACTATGCTCGTCGAAAGAGGCGACTAACGGGATCGGGTGGTCAGGCTCGCTGACTTGGTTGATGCATGTCATTGATCCCAATTGCGTGGATCGATGCTCATGATATTAATCACTGGATTGTCTGGTCCAGACTTGATTATTTACAGACCGGCGTCATATAGCTGGAATATTGCTGAGTGCGGTGTTAAACAACAATCAAACCCAACCAAACTGAGAGAGGATTTTTGATATTTTGGACCCCTCCCTGTACAATGTGTTCACTATGCAGAGTTGCATCCCTTAGCTGTGCAAGGATCCATGGATCGAATCACAATATAAGCCATTATGATCCTTGGTTTGTCAGAACCACCCCATGTTTTAGAGTTAACCATGTTATTCAGTATGGTAAAACTCCAATACTGTTGAAACTGGTATTAAACCTACTCATTCATGTTACCATAGGGCCACGTCGCAGGGGCACAGCTGAACTCGGTGGTATTAATCTTGAGGTAGTCTTCTGTTGTTATTAAATCTGAGGTAATGAGATAATGCAGGTTTAGTAAGATAAGCCAGGTGACTTTGATCTGTATTGTATTTGCTGGTAGTGTGGTCCATGTTAGCCATAACAGTGATTATAAGTGACCTTGTCTATTTAGACTCAATTATACACCATGACATTATAAAATGCTTGAAATTGTTTATAAGATAGCCATAGCAGACAGGTTGTTTACCAACAATTATGATATATAAGACATCAGTGGCATAACAAATATTTCCGGAATTATTATCAATGCACTTTAACACCC